TCAGCTATTACATCAAACAACAAGAACAAAGACTGAACAAACTGGAAGGAACTCATACCAACGACAGTAAGTGATACTTTACTTTCTACCATACAAACTATTGCAGAGAAACGAGCAAACAAGACAGAGACACAACGCAAATCAAACAACAACAAAAGCGAACGTTTAAAACAAACTAAAAACGTGCAAGACATAAACATGACGATAACTGGTGAGGAATATTTCTTCCCGCCCATTAGACGAAACTGAAACGCGACTACTATCTTACGGACTAAAACATTCCATAACACCTAGACAAATCCCGACTGAGACGATAGTATCAAGTGTCGAGGCTGTCCTAGCGTATCAAAGAGACTTGTCAGAGACAACAAAAGACGAGATCAAAGGGATAGCCTCCACTTTACAATCGTCCTCTATACGTGACAACAACTTGACAAAGACGAACAACAAGCACTCAAACGACTAAAACACGACAACAACATCGTCATTTTACCAGCAGACAAAGGACGTGACTGTGGTCATGGACAGGAATGATTACTTTAACAAAATGGACGCACTTGTTAACGACAGACAAACGTACGAACAACTCAAACGAGACCCAACACCATCACTAGTACGCAAACTTAACAGCAAGATCTTCTCTATGAGAAAATCTAACATTATATCTGAACGTATTTACTATCGACTCAGATGTTCAGTACCACGACCACCCAGACTATACGGACTACCAAAACTTCACAAACCACAAATACCCATGCGACCAATTGTATCATTCTGTGGTTCGCCTACTTACGAACTTTCAAAGTACTTGACTAACATACTGCAACCACTTACAAACAAATCAAAACACAAGCTACAATCCACTGAAACTTTCATTAAAAACTGTGCACTATACAAATACCAGACAACTATATACTAGTGTCTTTGATGTGAAATCACTGTTCACCAGTATTCCACTTAATCTGGCACTTACTTGTACAAAAACCCTCATTACAAACACCACGGACGTACTGCCATTACCGACAGAAGACATTATGGAGTTACTAGAGCTCTGCCTCACCTCGACTTACTTCCAATACAAAGGAACACACTACAAACAATTACATGGGACAGCAATGGGCTCGCCCGTTTCTGTTGTAGTTGCTGAAATTGTAATGCAATCTATAGAGGAACGGGCACTCATGACTTACAAACATGCACTACCTTTTTGGTTTCGCTACGTAGATGACACAATCACAGCACTACATGCAGACGAGATTGATGACTTCCATACTCACATCAACAAACAGAACAGCCACATACAATTTACCAAAGATGTCGAAGAAAACGGAACTCTTCCTTTTCTCGACTGTTTGGTAAAACATGACAATCAAAAACTAGAAACAACAGTTTATCGCAAGCCAACACATACTGACCGACTACTAGACCAATCATCTTACAACCCTACATCACACAAAGCCACCACAATCAGAACATTAACAAGACGTGCACAAATCATATGTGATTCACCGGACGCTCTACAAAACGAAAACAACTATCTCAAACGTGTTTTGACAAAACAACTATAACTCTGACTTTATCAAACGCAACACTTACAAACCCAACGAACCCAACGAAACGAACAACTCAGTGACAACAGCAACGATACCTTACATCAAAGGTACGTCTGAGACTATCTCGCGTATCTTACGACCATACAACATACGTGTCGCACATAAACCAATCACAACGTTACGACAAGTACTAACGAACATAAAGGACAAAGAACAACCCAACGAACGACAAGGTGCAGTTTACAAAATAAACTGCTCCGACTGCCACGCCTCCTATATCGGGGAAACTGGCAGGAACTTAAACATAAGACTTACTGAGCACAAACGAGCTACTAAGAAACAAGACAAAACTAATCACATTGCCGAACATCACCGAATCACAAAGCACAACATTGACTGGGACTCGGCAAAATGCATCACTTACAGTACTGACTATAGACAACGGCTTACATTAGAAAGTTGGTATACCAACTTGGAACAAACCCCCCTGAACAGATCACAGCAATTACCGGCACCTTACAAACGACTTATTCACAATACAAACAAACGATCAACTAAAAACATTACACTTCAAACTAATTCACAATGACAATACACAATTGACACCCACATTACAACTAAAACGTCACACCTAAATCACACATCACAACTAAAAATAAAATATTTCACTTCACACTAATCCACAATGACAATACACATTTCCTGCACATTTCCTGTACACACAATACAATGACGTAAGAACCAGACAATAAATACGGCTAACCTGACGTTTACTCCTCATTTGACTCTGAAGATGACTACCGCTAAGGTTGTCGAAACGTCAGTCAACAACATCAAAAACAGTCCTTCTCAGGACTTTATTAACCTGGACGATCATCATTTACAAACATGTATCGAAATTTATTGTTGATTTGGAGAGAGCGACAGAGCTAAATCAACCCAACATTATTTACTCCCTGCAGCGGTCGTTTGAATTTTAAATATTTCTTTAGAAATTCACATTACTATATCAATATGTCGTAATTCCTATGTTGCAGTATTATACAATATATAAGTGATTGCATAGTTTTAGTGTTATTCATTTGTTATGTACTAAATACTGCAATATTGGGTCACTTCAGCAGAATCAGCCACGAAAATAGTTAGCGTTTCCACTTTTGATATACAGAATTTGTCTTAGTGTCCTTATTTCCCCAATTTTCAACTAACTTCCTTTCTCTTTTTCAAAAGCTCTAAATTTGGCATGTTTCAATTGCAGTGACTTTTTTCCTTCATTACCGGATAATAAAAACTTGGACATAGTGTCCTTGGACCTTCTAAGACTGAAAATAATTTTCTTGTACGAAGCTCACAGCCGGTAAATAAAATATACATAAACTCATAAATAAAAGTTTATAGTATATCTGCTTTATATTATGAGAAAACTGTAATGAAAATAGCAACGTAACGGTGAGAGTTAAATTTTATTTAGATGTTCTTTGTGTTTTAAGGTTAACTTTCCTTTCATTTTCGATTTCTTGTTTTTCCCTCATAATTTACATAATTTCTTCACAAGGGTAAATATCCCACTCAGAGAAAATGCTGCAAATCGTTGTGTGTAAGCCTACCTTAATATTTTTCTTTCAAATAGTAAAAAAGTTGAATGAAAGTATATTATATAAATAAAGTATTCATACAACACAACAGCTAATTTTAGTTATGTTCTTGCTTTTGACAGAAAGGTAACAGATATATACACATGCTCTACAAGTACAAACTATCAAAACACAATGCCTCTTGATAGCTTACTGCTCTATGTATTCGAATTGTTTACGAAAAAATCTCGAGATACAACAGCAGACAGACTTGAAAACAGCAACGTTGCTAATGTAAGTTTTCCCGAAATTTTCAAGCGATATTCACGCCACATCAAAACTAAGCTCCACAATCTTTCGAAAATAGACCTTTGCTCTAGTTTGGACTACATGGAGGAAGGATTTCTTCAGCTTTCTGAATGCATTAACGAAGTAGAAAGAAATAGAAAATATAAACAAGGAAGTAACAATGAAAATTCTCAGGCAACTTGTACTGCCATCACCAACAGGTATGAACTTTCCATTGCCATACAACGTTCAAATGTTTTTGAATCGGCAAAAAAGCGATTTGAAAAATCCCGTGTAAAAGCAACGAGAGCTTTCAACAACAGAGACTTAAGCTTGGAGTACAGAATATTTGCCGTTTATGTGAAAGTCATAGCGCAAATTTTTGAGTGTCCTGAGAACCCAACGACTGCCATTAATTTGTGTTTATCTTATATAACAAAGCTGCATGAGCTGGATGGTGTTCGTGAAATGTTCTCAGTGTCTATCTCTGGTGGATTGAGGGCGATGCTCGATAAATCGCAAAGAATGGAAAATATGAAGTCTGTCATTCTTCTCAACCATCATTTGTATCAGTTCATTGCAAGGATCAACAACAATCATGATCATTTATCAACTTGGCCAAGTATTGAAATTGGAAAAGAAAAAATTTTTAATCCAATGTGTGACTGGTACAAAGTCTTCACTCCCGAGTCTTGGGGTGAAGTGTTGATTCATTCTTCCAAAGAAATGGAAAAAATGAAAGCCACGATGTTTCAAATACTGGAGGAAATGACTAAAAATGAGCATGTCAAAACATTGCCATCATCAGTTGAAGGAACGAAGAACTCAGGAAAAGAAGATATTTTGATTGCTGGAGGATACTCACAAGCTACGTTAAAAAGTGTTGAGATATTTTCATGGAAGGAAGAGAAATGGTTTAATATTGCATCAATGAAAAATGAACACTGGTTGGCTTCGTCGTTTATTTATAATGATAATCTATTTGTTGTTGGAGGTAGTGGTAGCAAGTCAACAGAGACATTGAATCTCAAACAGTTACCTTTGACATGGAAGACATTTCCTGGAGAGCTTCCTTATGATTGCTATGCTCATCAAACTGTTGTTTATAAACAACAAATTCTTTACATCGGTGGTTTTAATGAAGACAAAAGAACAGCATCTGATCTGATCAGTAAATTACAGATTACTGGTGCCACATCTTGCGTTTTAAAAGAGTTGTGTTACTTGCCTGAACCAAGAGAGTACCATGGAGCTGAGGTGGTTGATGATAAAATTTTTATTTTTGGAGGAATGGGGAGAGATAACAACATTTTGTCAAGTGTTTTGGAGTTTTCCTCACCTCTTAAATGCAATAAAAGGCCTCCATTACCTTATTCATTGTTTGGAATGGCAACAGTTAGATGGAAAGATCAAGTTGTTCTTCTTGGAGGTTATAATGGAAGAGAAGTATTGAACAGTGTTGTCATGTATGACAGTAAGACAGGTCAGACCACACTCTTACCATCCATGTTGGAAAATAGAACTAGGTGCTGTGCAGTTATAACAGATGATACAATTGTCGTAATGGGAGGTTTGAATGATAAAGTTGAAGGTCTTAAATCAGTGGAATGTTTTAAAATAGGAAGCAGTTCTTCATGGACATACCTTCCTTCAATGAGTCAACCAAGATTTGGAGCCATTACTGAAATTTTACCCTTTGGACAAAAATACATTTAAACTTGGTAGCTAAAATTACTAAACGAACGAACGTTATGTAAAACTCATCAATATTCCTTTGGATTATAAATTTTTAAGGTTAAAAATGTAAAATGCATAAGGTAATCATTATGTACTGTTATAAATTACTAGAATAGGTGGCTGACTAATAATTGAATTATGTTCAGTTTGTTAAGGATAGTTTATGTAATATCATACAAACTTAGACCACCCAATTTTTCTTCGGCAAATTATGTCCTCACCCCACGCCCCTCAATCTTGAGATCATCTTGGCACTATAACTATTACCTCGTGTAAGTCTTGACTGTTAAATCTTTCCATCCTTTTATAATTTATTGTACTGATTATTGTTAATTATACAAAAATATTCTGTTTATCTATTTATTCTTAATTCGTCGAAGCAATTAAAAAGTAGAAAAAATTCTCCTAGCCAAAGTCTGTATTCGAAATGATGTCAACTTTTGTTTGCATGTGGTGTAAATCTCGCACGATAACTTTGCGATAACTTTCATTAGTGACATCACCCTTTTCAAGTGTGTCTAAGGCCTTACCTCGAGTTTTTTTTTGTATAAAAAGTTGAATATTGAGTACACTAGCCTTTCAATGTTTTGATGATTTTTACTAGTAGTCTCTTGCATCATATCTTAAACTTTGTTGCGTCTCTGTCAAAAGCAAATATATAGTTATGTTTGTATGAATACGAATAATAAAATTTCAATGTTTATTTTTTACAATTGGTACAACTGTCCTGTATTCTGTCGTTAATATCAATTTCCCTTTTTCTAATATTGGTGTAACTGTCCTGTATTCTGTCGTTAATATCAATTTCCCGTTTTCTAATATTGTTGAAACTGTCCTGTATTCTGTCGTTGGTATTAATTTCCCGTATTCTAATATTGGTGTAACTGTCCCGTATTCTGTCGTTAATGAAATATTCCCGTTAATGAAATATTTTCTAACATAGGTTTAACTTTCTTGTATTTTATATCTGGTACAACTGCACTGTATTCTCTGTGCCTTTATTTACTAATATTTTGAGGTAAGATATCAGACTAACAGATGCAAAAATGTGCTTCCTCTGTCATTTATATACGAGCAACAGAGTTGTGGATCATAACAGTCTATTGTAACGTATTGATATAGTTCTATATTTTCCTGTTCAGGTTCATCTGCCTTCTTCTGTCTTAAAAATTATTGCTGTTTTTCTTGACCATAGCGGCAAGAAATTAAAGAGATCGAAAGAAATTTGAGGTGCTGCAAATGCTTGGAAAAAAGATGGTTTGCCCAGTTGTAAAGTTAAATTTATCGGTATTTGTACATCCAATTGGTCGTTGCTTTGCCCATTAACTTGGACAGTTGATGGGAGTTGAACATGCATTGTCGGATTAATTCTCAATTAATTTGTGACCGAATTTTCAATCCTATATCTTTGGCCTCCTGTTTGTCTTTGCATACTGCTTGTTTTTACAAATGCATATCAAACTCGTGAATACTTTCTTACAGCACTCGTAATTTCCGTCTCACTGTTAGAGATATTTTTGTTTTGCTTTTTTGTATAAATTTGTATCTTTATATTTTGTGCTGAAAAAATACTGGAATATTTATGACAGGTAGAAGAAGTACTTGACAATGAATTTTCCAATAGTGCAAGAAAATCAAATATGAGAGAGGAAGAACAAAGACGTATCTGTAAAACATTTTATATCCTATATTCTACATTTTACACAAAACTTTTTATTATTTTCAAAATCTTTTACAGATACGTATTGTTGAGAAAGATAAAGAACCAAAGGTATACACGATCGTGTTGAAATTCTCAGGCAAAGATTTTACGTAAATAGAAAACATAAAGATATCAATCACATATGATATGGAAAGTTGTGCCCATCTTAAAGAGTTTTGGCGGTCAAAAACGTGCTTACTTTATAGTTGAAGTGAGTACTATGTACTAAAAGGTTTATATTACTGCCCTTAATTTTAAAATTTGTATAACTGCACTGTCTTCTGTGTTTGGTATAAATCTCCCGTATTCTATGGAAGATAAATTTTCAGTTTTCTAAAATTGGTGTAACTGTCCTGTATTCTGTCGTTGATATAAATTTTCAGTTTTCTAACATTGGTGTAACTGTCCTATATTCTGTCGGTATAAATTTCCCGTGTTCTAATATTGGTGTAATTGTCCTGTATTCTGTCGTTGGTATATATTTCCCGTGTTCTAATATTGGTGTAATTGTCCAGTATTCTGTCGTTGGTATAAATTTCCCTTGTTCTAATATTGCTGTAATTGTCTTGTATTCTGTCATTGGTATAAATTTCCTGTGTTCTAATATTGGTGTAACTGTCCTGTATTCTGTCGTTGGTATAAATTTCCCGTGTTACAATTTTGCAGTAACTGTCCTGTATTCTGTCGTTGGTATAAATTTCCCGTGTTCTAATATTGCTGTAACTGTCCTGTATTATGTCGTTGGTATAAATTTCCCGTGTTCTAATATTGCTGTAATTGTCCTGTATTCTGTCGTTGCTATAAATTTCCCGTGCTCTAATATTGGTGTAACTGTCCTGTATTATGTCGTTGGTATAAATTTCCCTTGTACTAATATTGCTGTAATTGTCCTGTATTCTGTCGTTGGTATAAATTTCCCGTGTTCTAATATTGGTGTAACTGTCCTGTATTCTGTCGTTGGTATAGATTTCCGGTGTTCTAATATTGCTGTAATTGTCCTGTATTCTGTCGTTGGCGAAAATTTCCCGTTTTCTAATATTGCTGTAACTGTCCTGTATTATGTCGATGGTATAAATTTCCCGTGTTTTAATAATGGTGTAACTGTCCTGTATTCTGTCGTTGGTATAGATTTCCGGTGTTCTAATATTGCTGTAATTGTCCTGTATTCTGTCGTTGGTAAAAATTTCCCGTTTTCTAATATTGCTGTAACTGCCCTGTATTCTGTCGTTGTTATATTCCGTTCCTCAATACAGTGCTATGCAAACTCCAGGGCTTCATTTCCGCGTACAGTGTATAAATGCAGGTTTTTAGATGTAAGTCCAAATACCAAGACCTCTCCGAGGTCATTATAGGTATCAAGCACCTTTAGCAACATTCTTGCTGTTCTTAATAAGCAGGCCTTTTAAAGTGTAACAAAGTTCACGTTTAATTTCAGTAGTTTTACGTCAAAGTACTTTTACAGCGTTCTGCTCACTGTTCCCTGAACGTTAAGAACGATAGGAGAAACTGCCGTGTTTTTACGATTCCATACTCTTTTAAGTTCAGGATTTAGGTCATAAGACTCCAAGGGTTTTCCTGATCTTTATTTTCAATTCTTGTGTCTAATGGGCATGCTATACAATGTTAAAACTGATTGGTTAAAATAAGCATATGATTGGTTAAAGTAAACATAAAATATTGGTTAAAGTGGTTACATGCATCTGAGGTAACCAATTTAATGTCTATTAATATGCAAGTTTTTTTTAGGTGATTTTAGACAGTGTCTAGTTTTGATTGTATAATTTCGTTGTCTCTTTGGATTTTCTTGGCCAATAATGTTTTTGTCTCATGCGCTTTCTTTAGTTGATGACTGTACCATTTATCTAAATGTATGAGATCTACCTTAAGTCACCAAGTTACTCAATCCTAACACCACAGGAGTCTGAATGTGCGAGATCTAACTTAAGTCACCAAGTTACTCAATCCTAACACCACTAGAGTCTAAATGTGCGAGATCTACCTTAAGTCACCAAGTTACTCAATCCTAACACCACAGGAGTCTGAATGTGCGAGATCTACCTTAAGTCACCAAGTTACTCAATCCTAACACCACAGGAGTCTAAATGTGCGAGATCTACCTTAAGTCACCACTCAATCCTAACACCACAGGAGTCTGAATGTGTGAGATCTACCTTAAGTCACCAAGTTACTCAATCCTAACACCACAGGAGTCTGAATGTGCGAGATCTAACTTAAGTCACCAAGTTACTCAATCCTAACACTACAGGAGTCTAAATGTGCGAGATCTACCTTAAGTCACCAAGTTACTCAATCCTAACACCACAGGAGTCTGAATGTGCGAGATCTAACTTAAGTGTTACTCAATCCTAACACTACAGGAGTCTGAATGTGCGAGATCTAACTTAAGTCACCAAGTTACTCAATCCTAACACCACAGGAGTCTGAATGTGCGAGATCTACCTTAAGTCACCAAGTTACTCAATCCTAACACCACAGGAGTCTGAATGTGCGAGATCTAACTTAAGTCACCAAGTTACTCAATCCTAACACTACAGGAGTCTATAGCAGCTTCATACCCTTTAAATGATATGCTTTAATGTCGACTGACACAACAATTGATTAGAACTTGTGTTAAATGGTTATTTTTAAACTCTGGAGAAAAAACTTGTCCATCAAGCCCGTGCAACTATAGTTAACTGTTTTTTGTCTGACAAGGACATGAAGGGAAAAGAGAAGTCAGGCGCGGGAAATGGATAATTTTGAAGAGAAATCTCGAAAGGAAATTGAAGGAAAACAAGTAGCTGTTAGCTATGTTCTGCTTAACAAAGAAACTTTTTGATGAAGAAAGTATTTTAGGAACAGCAAGCAGATGGGTGCACTGGTGTTAAATTTGTCATTTTCGAAAAATTGATAAAAGGAATTATGAAAGAAACTGAAAATGCTAAACCCACAATTTTCAAAGGTTAAATCGAAATAAATTTAAAATTATTATTATTATTATTATTGTTGTTATTGTTATTAGGAGACCAAAACATTTACATCTTCCTTCGATGGTGCTAGAACTCCCCTTGTTGAAGCTTCAGAGAGTGAGCCCTCCTACTCCACATGTCGATGATTGGTTAAATGTAGTTTTTCAATTTTTTAACTGCCGAGCATGGCCACGTAGCTATAAGTGCAGTGTGACTGTGAATTTAGCTCTATTTCAAACCAAAAGATCATTTTTGTCTAGTGTTTTTGACTTACAGCTTTTACGAATAATGATTTACAATTTATCAGTCATCCCAGTCATACGTTGTAAACATTTATGACGTGATATGATGTCTTCAAGATTTCCCGGTATCACCTTCGTCAGTGACTCTTCCCCATCTCTGATAGCTACATTTAGATGTGCAGCTCTATTTGAATGTTGGCTGATGTACTATTAGGAAAAATTTTAGGTAAGAGGGAAGAGTTTTATGCTGCATAAAATAATTTAACATTTGAAAGTAAATTCCTTCAACCATTGCTAAGTTGTAATTTCCTTCAACCATTGTTGAGTTTAGACTCAACAATTTTTTTGTTGATGTTCTTACGATTAAAAGCGTAAGATGAAAGAAAGTGCAAGTGTTTCATTGAAATGTTTTATGTATTTCTTTGCTTCAGTTACGAGGCACGAACGTCAAACCTTCCTGGAACATATTTTATTGTTTTCATACATAGCGTTGCATATATACGTAGAAAAAGAAAGAGAAAGCTCTGGCTTCTAAACCTGTATTTTTTCGTTTACACAAAGTGAAGATAAGGCGGTGTTTTGCTAGGTCTTCAGGCACTATAGCGATCTCTAAAGGTACATACAAAAAGACTTCAGACAAAGGTGAGTGAAATTTTCATTATTTTATAGATTGTATGTCTATAGAGATACATATTTAATACATAAAATATAGTCGGCATTCATGGATTTAGATCTATAGTTTAAGGTGATTCAAAATACCGTCAAAGAACAACCAAATATAGACAAATTGAATAACACCAAAATTATCAAAAGGCAGTATTATCTTAAGGCCGAGGAAGTTTAATTTAATTGAATAAAGCATAATTATTCAACACTGATCTCGCCAGGGCTAACTTTTGGTTTCTCTTTCGTTTCTCGCTTGGGTTTCTTGATGCTTGGGTTTCTTGATGCGTTTCTCGCTTGGGTTTCTTGATGCTTGGGTTTCTTGATGCTTGGGTTTCTTGATGCTTGGGTTTCTTGATGCTTGGGTCTCTTGATGCTTGGGTTTCTTGATGCGTTTCTCGCTTGGGTTTCTTGATGCTTGGGTTTCTTGATGCGTTTCTCGCTTGGGTTTCTTCACTGCATAAATAATTTAATATGATTTTATTCAATTCACATATTTTAGTAGAAAGTTTTGATCTTTAAATAAATTTTGATTCATTTATAAAGAAAAGTTTTTTTATTCATAATGTCTACATTGGATATTGTCTGATTCTTTTCATAATCATTCAAGTATAACATACATATTTGCTTCATGGCCGCTCTATATTAACAAAACGAACAAAGTTTCTATGATGTATTGTTGCACAAAAAAAGAGAGGGAAAAAGTTGTATATGAGAGTATTTTTACAGAATTCGTTTTAGTTTTATGGTTTACTTTGTATAATCCATGGACCAAAAGTAATAAATCCGTTACGCCAACCTCTCATACTGAAAATTATAATTCGGTTGAGTTTTGTTTTTGTTTTGTTATTGTTGCCAACAGAAAACCAATACAGATGAGGTTTTAATAAACCTCTATGTTATTGTATCGACTTTTTATAAATAGCTATTTGCTTTCATATATGTTAAAAAAAAATTAAGGGTTTTTCTGTGCATTTCTTGTGGCTATATTAAGTTGTAGAGTTCCTAGAGAAATGATTAAGGTGCAGCTTCTGTATACCTGATGCAGCGAATCTATTCTTTTCAATAAAAAATATAACTAGTGACTGCCGAGATATCATTCAATAAGAGATTGCTTATTTTAAATGATTCATTGACTGTGTAGTTTAAATCCTAAATGTCCTCGATAACAATCCATAAATTAAGTCAAAAATGTTCTCAATTATCAATTTCTAGATGCAACTAAACAACGGAACTTTCCTCATCACCAATAAGTTGTATAACCATGCGAAACTGGCGATGTGGGGAACTGATCCCAGAGATATGGGGACTACTGAAGAGAAGGCAGATAAAGATCAGTTATGGCAACTGAAAGAAGAACCAAAACATCCCGGATATTATTACATCTGCAATTTGAAATATGTTACATTTCGACTGGCCAAGTGGAGACCTGGAATTGAAGACGTTGGTTCGTATACTGGCCCTCATCATGACAATCAGTTGTGGAGATTTGAAGATACCGGTGGTATGTATGCTAAGTAAAAACCTAAGTTTTCTTCATGTTATAGCCAGGACCATGGGCAGCCACGATTGTCTAGCTGTCCGGACTCCATATGTTTTGGAGTGTAGGTGTCCTTTACGGAAGTAAATTCACGAGTTTGGTTTCTTTTTTGATCATTTATGATAAGAATGACAGATTTTACAGTTGTACAGAGTTTTCAAAGCAATAAACCTTTTACTGTATTTCAGTCAAAAGTTGAAAACCGAACTAATGGTCTAATATTAAATATTTTCATCCCAAATTTAACAATTTTGCGTTATGACATATTGAGTGTGGAGCACTCCACAACTTCTAAAGGCTTTGAAAGATCTCAGTCAAAAATGTTATATAAGTTACTAGAACCCAATCTCTTGGATGTTGAGCTACGGTGTCAATGGTAAGGCAAGGACGCCATCTTGAAAGATGGCAAAAATCATAACACTCAATCAATTATAAGACAAAAGAACGTTGAAAAACCAATCCTAATGAATATTTTGAAAACTACACTTAAATTATAAACTCAGAAGAAGCATAGTATACTCGTGCATGTCGTCAGTTTTGCCACATTTCAAGATGGCGGCTTGCCTTTCTCTTACCAAGTTCGGTTTCTTGAAGACTGGGTTCTAGGTCATTTCCTGCTCATTACATAAGGATTTAAAGTATGATATGCTTAAGAATAAAATGTCGACAAATTTCATTTAAGACGGTTTCTATCGAATATACAATTTTATCTACAACGAGGCAAGACTAAGAAAATGGGGAAAAGAAAATGACGAATGGGGCACTGGTGAAGGCCGTGCTCAAGATGATGAATCATGGAAACTGGTACCTAGGTTCAGAGCAGACGTCAAAACTGCTACAATATGGAGCGTAGACAACAGACGAGGATCAGAATCTTTGTCAGGAAAAGTATCCGTAACCACTGGCCTCGAGTTTTCATCTTACTCGTCTATTTCAACCACAGTTGGTTTGGAACAATCTTTATAGACTTCCATTTTGCGTGCTGCAGGGGATGAAGAAGTACAAGCCTGGATAAAGGCAGTGATTAAATATTCAATGTTGCACAGCAAGGAAGACTGGAGTCGTACTTCGACGATAACGTTTACAGCACCAGCATACAAGAATTATCGTATAAAACAGTTGATGTGTTATTTCTCGAGTTCTCTTGTATCTGATGACTGTGTTTTGACATGCAATTGCATCGTTGAAGAAAGCCAAGGAAACTTTAACTAAAACATAACTGTGTTATGAATCTAATGCTTTCGCTCACATGAATATTCATTTGTTATTTAGATATTTCTTCGACACTTCGTTAGGACGCGTTCACCTGTATATATAAGTTAAATGAAAGAATTTTGAGCTGCGTCAAGTAGATATGAAGCAGCGTTTGTGTAAATGTCAGCAATGAATGTTTAGAAAAATTGCCTTTTTACATCAAATTTGGCAATTTACTAATACTTAAAACATGATATTTCTATAAGGGTTTGCACTATATTATTAAAATCTTTAGGATCCACTAATTTTTTGTCTACAATGTTGTATGCATTTTTGAATATCATTTTGTCTACCTAGTTAGTGTCTATTTTTGTGTCTTCCTTTGTGTCTATCTTTACGTATGTCTTTTGTCTTCTTTTTTGTCTGAATTTTTCTTTCTTTGTGTCTATATTTTTTTCCATCTGTGTCTACCTTTATTTCCTATTTAATGTATAAGACTTCCTTTGGTTCATTTTTGTTGTTTTTTGTCCATCTTTTTAGCACTTTATGTTTTCTTTTCAGTTTTTTATTTTGTGGATCTTTTTAGTTTTATATGTTTCTTTATTTTTGTCTATTTTCCTACTTTTTGTCATCATTATCGTTTACTTAGTAATTTCGATTCTTTTATCGTAATTTTATGTCACCTTATTTTCGATCTCATAAAGTGTACTTTTGTCTATCTTTTGTTAATCTAATGATTATTAATTGTGTCTTCCTTTGTGTCTATAATTTTGTCTGTCTCTTTGTATAACGTTTTTGTACAGCTTGGCTCTACCTTTGCTTCTATTTTTTCTACTTTTTTGTTCACCTTTTCGTCTACTTGTGGTATATCTTTATGGACTCTTTGTTTATTCTTTGTTTCACCTTTGAGTTTTGTCTGTTGTTAATCATGTGTTCTCTCTCTCTAATATCTAATTTTCCCCCATCTTTTGGTTCACTTTTTGTTTATCTTTGTATAAAAATTTTCTGTTTATTTTTCTGTTAGCCTTTAAGAATTTTCTTTTGCCTACATTTGTGTTTACCTTTGTGTTTACTTTTTGTTCGACTTTTGTGTTTACCTTTAAATCTACATATAAGTCTACCTTTGTGTTGATATTTTAGTCTACGTTTAAGTCAACCATGGTGTCTACCTACTTGTTGATCTTTTGTCTATCAATAAGTCTACTTTTTTGTACTTCTTTTTGTCTTTGTTATATTCTTTTAGTCCTCTTTGTCACTTTTTGTTTTTTCCTATTTTTTTTCGTTTTATCTTTTGTTTTTTTTAATCTTAACTTGATCTCTCTTTTATTCACTTTGTGTTTATTTTTTGTCTTTTGTTTTCATTAGTTTTGTTTTCAGCTATTTTTGTGTGTGGCCTAACTTAGGTCATCTCTTTGTTAATCTTTAGTTTAATCTTTTGGGTCCACTTTTGTGCCCTTTTCTTGTCCTTTGTTCTGTGTTTATTTTGTATCTTTTTCCCTTAGGATTCTTAGTCGTTCTTTGTATGTGCCATTTTGTCCCCTCTCAATCCATTTTATATTAACTTTAGTCTTACCTTTTGTCCACCAAGTATTGATCTTTGTGTGCACTTCTTTTCTCTCGGATTTTATATCTTTCGGGCTATCTTTCCGATTATTTAGGTTTTATTTTTTGCTCCATTTTTTGTCTACATTTTGTTCTTGAGTAATTCTTTTTTATACCTGAAACGCATCTTTTCATAGTTTTGTCTATGGGGTCCATAATTATTATCTTAACCTTTTATCATTTCCTGAGCTGATTTTGTAATCATCTCGGATCTATTCTCTTTGAACCCATCTTTGAACGATTTTTTATTTTTTTTTGTTCTTTTGCTCATTACATTTATTGTACATTCTTCTACGTCTATTATTGTATTCCTTTTTTCTAGCTATGTACCCATTGTGTTATGTTTTTGTTTACCTTTTTGTCTACCTTTGTGATTACCTTTTTGTTGGCATTTAGTCGTGTCTATTTATTTGTCTACTGTATTCTTTTTCACTTTCGTATCCAGCTTTTTTCTTGTTTTTTTTCTACCTTGTGATTATTATTTAGTTAGCTTTTCGTCTTCCATTATGTCTACTTATGTGTCTACTGTATTCTTTTTCACTTTTGTATCCAACTTTTGCTTGTTTTTTTCTACCTTTCGGTCTGCGTTCTTGTTTATTAGTAATTTGCAGATTAAAACCATGTGTATCAATATTCGATCTATATTAGAAATTTATTATTTCTATTTTGCATAGTATTTCATTGTATCTAGAATTATTCCTTAACCCTGATCATATCTATAGTAGCTAGTTAGCATCACTCAGATGTTACATGGACCTAAATGATAATAGTTTAAGCATGTGTTAGCTTAACATGATGATCGGGCTATGGAGTCTCAACGATTCGTCAATTTCCTGATTACGAAAGAGCTCCTTTTTTAACCATGTACAAGTAAAAATCAACGAGACAAAACAGAAATTAATTATATTTATTGATAAACCAATCGTTTGTATGAAGACTAAAAATGTGGCCCTGTGGGATTCATCAGTCATCATAAAGCATGAAAGCACTTAAAAGTTACTGCTGACACAACACATTTAAGCGAAAAGAAACTACAACAGCAAAGGCAATGGAAGAGCAAGAAGGAAATTTATTTATACTGAAATAGCGACAACTTGTGTATAAATCGATTATGAGAAAGAAGTTTGAAAGACTACATTGAGGACGCAAACACGTCAACGTTAGTTTGATCTTGAGGAAGAATTAGATGGTGACTCGAAGGAATTCTCAACGACGCAAGGTTATAAACCAGAAAAGCAGAGTAACAACAGCGTTTACCAAAACTGCATACGTCGATGGATACACTGCACCATTTATAAGAATTTGATAAGATGGCGATTTATACTAAAGCTTTGACATCGAGTGCTAGCGTAACGCAAAAAGCCAGATATTGTAGTACGCCATGACGACTATATATACAGTGGTTTCTCATATCAGCTACGTTCTTTACACAGTTTTTAAAGATGTTTATGGCTGCGTGATGATATGACTCTTGAAATCAGCACAACACTCCTAAAGACACCACAGAAAACAAATGATCACAAAATGTATTTCATTTTAGATGAAAGACCATACTCTAATGGTAGACCGCTCTTGAATCCTTTAAAAGAAGTTATCAATTGTGGAATAAACAAATACTACAATGGGCGTTTAAAGAAGTCTTCATTGAATGACCGCATGGAAAAGTGCTGCATATGAAAGACTTGTACAGACAAAATTCTTTTGCCTTTATATCCCTTTCGCTGGAAATTATCTCTTGGCTCAAAACTATATATGTATTTTTCATGTATGATCAAACTAACATTAATATGTGCTATTTATACAATGCAACACTCTTGTACGACTTAAATTAACAATTATGATTTTTAGTTTGTTCCGTTCTCTTTAGCATAAAGCTCTTCTTTAATCCTAATTTAATACCTTCATACATATATTTTTTTAATTAATTACTACAAAGCCGGAATCGTACATTAAATTGATCAGTAATCTTCAACGAACTTTCTGGTCTACTGCAAGACACAACCTTACGAGGTTGCAAAGTGGAGGTTCAAACCCTGTCTGGAATAAGATATAGTTAGATCTAGGATGAGTTAAGGAATGAGAAAATAGTGGTGGTCAACAGTGCAAGAAGGGCGTTTCTATTACTGAGTTTTTAGAGAATGGAATGCGACACTTAGTATAAATTCAGAAAAAACACGCTCTCCGATGAGAAAGAGGAAGGAGGAAAAAGAAGAGCAAATAAAAAAAAGAAATAGTTTCTCACACAAAAAATCACTCTTAAAAAAACTAAGTCTTTCGATAAAGTTTCTTTATGACTCCCTAGGAACAGGGAGTCAATTTTTTTAAATTTTAATAGTCAGGAAATTCAAGAGCAAAAAGAACGCCCTTACATTCGCTTCTTACCACCTGACACTCGATCCTCAGTTCGACTTTTTGTATTCCCACCTGCCGCGTACACTAAGGTGTGTTGTCAGAGGGGCGAACCAAGATCTTATGCACAGGAGGACAGTGATGGCCAGTCGAGCTATACGCTCAACATCGAATGCTAACGGTTTTCTGGCGTATTTTCTCATTTTTTTAAACTTTGAGGTGAAAGAAAACGTTAATATCAGTTTTGAACCCGAGATGATGCGATCGCCGTATGGACAACCACAAATGTTCCTCTCGATATGCAAAGAAAGCAACAGGGATTTGAACCTGGGATGATGTGATCACCATACCAGCAGCTATAGTTGAACCTGGGAAGGTGACATCAACAGCGAAGCGATGAATCATTTTGGCGAATGGAAAAGAGTAACTATTTCACAATGAAAAACTTATTTGAACAATTACTCTATGCTCTGACTTAGGAATTCACAAAACCTTTAAAATGAAGCAAATAATTTAGCCTGATTTGAAAATTACGACTAAAATGACTTATGACGCTCAAGAAAAGGTTGTACGTTTTGCGCTTTAAGTTTTTACTCTTTTCAATGACTCAAAATCATTTCACGCCTCGCTGAATCTCGCTTACCGGGCTCAAGTGAATAATACAATATAATATATTCTTTCGTAATTCATGTTGTAATTTACTGCGCAGAAGACTAAGAAAGAATGCACAATGTCAGGTATTGCTACATAAAATATCTTTAAACTCAACATTCAACGCATCATTTTCTTGCATGTTTTGGAAAAATCCAAATTTTCAACACATCAATCCACTGTTAACGTCTCTATTTTGTTTACATTTTGTGTTGATTTGTGATTGTCGAGTCAACAACCAAAAATATTCAATAGAATTCGATAAAGGTGCGAGTAGATTTTTCACAAAATGTGAGTGTTCTTTGTCCCGTGTCCTCTAAAATTCTGTTATGCCTTACAAAAGGCGAGCGAAATATTTACATCTTCCCAATATGGTGTTACATCACCGATGTTAAATTACCATTACATCATAGTGCTTTAATTACATAATAAACTTATAACAATTGATACATACTAATATTATAAAATATACAAGTGTATAATCTGTAATAAAAATATCTTCGCAATTTCATCAAACCTACAAGAAAAGCAAACCATTATTTAAATTTCTTTTGCCACAAGCAAACAATGAATATGCAAACCTTTCGTAGGTTATGAAACCTTAGACGTTTTGGTATCATACCCTACTCCAATTTCCCGCCAAAAAGTTTAATAGGAATCTAAGGCCTTTTCAAACGTTGCACTTTTTATGCACCGAACGCATTGAAGACAAAAGAAAATGAGATGAACGTCCTCATTTTCTCTTGTTTTAAATGCGTTCGGTTCATGTAAAGTTCGACGTTTAAACTAGGCCTAAAATAGACGTATTATCATATTTTCAAACTAATTACCAGACCTCTTCTAAAGTAAGCAATACCGCTCTCCTTAGATACATCAAATAATTATTGGATAAGATAGAGTTTGATATCATGCGAAAGCTGAATTCAATAATTGTTTTCTCATTCCCCTCAACTGACTGAAATAAAAAGAAGACAATTGGATGGATGTAAAACATTTTGAGAACCTCAGCTGATTTGTCCTTTTCAGACGGTCTATTCAATTTCTTCTCGCTTAAATATGTTATAAATATATTTGACGCCAGCTTCCACCCTTTTTTGTGTTTTCCGCATCCTTTTCCTCCAAAAGCTTTCGCACATCATTTTTAGTAATGGCGGCAAACATTTCACTAATTAACTTTCTTCAAAACTGGCTTTTGCCAGTGAAAACAATAGTGGAAACTATTACTTGTAATTGAGACGTCAGAATTACAGATAATCAGGAACTATTTCGAATGTTCTACCCACCCTGTTCATTATTCTAAACCCCGCGACCCTGTAACTCTCCGGGACTTACCACTGTGTGATAGCTAGATTGTGACGGTGATTGATCAAGGACAATGTCAGTTTTGGTTGACTTGTTTGTAGGTGATGTACTTTCTGGAGTTTGTGTAGTTATAGCACTGGTATCTGATTGTCTCCGTTGATGAATTTTCCCATCGTTGATATTTTGGCCGTCGACGACGCTAGGAGGTCGCGAACTTGTAAAAATACCTATAAACGACCTCCGCTTTGAAGCTTTTGCCGCTTTCGTTGAATTATAGTCAATGTTGGGTTTTCCATCCTTAGAGGAACCCGGAATATCGTTATTTTGCACTATATTTTCAGCCGAACCATTTTGCGGCGCTTTGTCGACAGATTTTTTCCCTCGTGAACCGAAAAGTCTTTTTTTAAGCGAAGGTCGTCTTTCGAAGTTTTGATCATCTCCAGAATCCGCTCCGTCACCTGCGTTCGATTTCGTTTTCTTCAACAACGATTTCGTTTCATCTGTTGACTTTTTTCGAAAAGGAATTGACCTAGCTGGGGCACTTGTAGCAGAATAGTTAAGGCCGCTCGCTAGGTAGTCGGTACTGCCTCGTCTCAAGCTCGAGACCCTCCGTATAAATCGACGTTTGTCCATAAGAGGGCTGGTGTATTGAGTGTACGGAGAAGAAATGCTTGACATTGTTATCGTCGGACTAAAGTTTGACGAGTCATCAAACAACGATGATCGCGTCGTGGGAACTTGTTCTCCAGGTTGACTACCAACACTGATACCAGTTGTAGCTTCAGCTAAACCGTACTCTAGAGAATGAACGATGTTTGTAAGTTTTGTGTAAGATTCATTTGCATTGAGCTGTAAAATCAACTGTGGTAACAAAATAGTAAACAAGATAATCATTGTCTTCAATGTTCTACCAACTGAATTACAAAATCGACTGTAAACTCTGATATTATAAAACACAGTTCTAGTTTCTTTCATATCTTAATATAGAAGATAATAACATCACGTTGTTGTGATGTACTCAGGTATAGTAAAAAGATAATCATCGTCTTCAATATACTAGCAACTGAACTACAAGATCAACTGTGGACTATGATGATATTTTAAAACACAGTTCCAGTTTCTTTCATATGTTAATATCGAAGATAATAACATCATGTTGTTGTGATGTACTCAGGTATAGTAACAAGATAATCATTGTCTTCAATGATCTACCAACTAAACTACAAAATCGAGTGTAAACTAATTCATAACACAGTTCTAGTTTGTTTCATATTATAATATCATATATAATGAGAAGATATTCATGGTCAGCGTTTCTAAAAAAGAAACACAATCAAACTCCATATGGTTTTTCTGGTGAAAATTGTTCATGTTATGAATGTCACAGTTATGAAAATATAGATGACACGGATATACGTATAAACAGAACATTACCTCTGTTTCTGACTGCTTGACGCCATAACAATCTTGTTATTTCTATAACCCAAGATGTCTTGATATCCAAGTTTTTAGCCTAAAAATAAAACTACAAATTCATTCTGTAGAACATGCACTAAAAGTTCATAACGGCAGTATGTATAATTGAGGGAATTTACCTCCAGACAAGCGAGTGGCAAATTTTGCTGCATGCAAGTACAGGCATGATAACATAAAGATAGCCTTCCTGTTAAAGGACATTGGCAACGAAAATTTTTATGGCATATTTTTGAACCTTTGTGATGTCTAACAACTAAAATAAAAAAATTTTTTCTCAAAAATATTTTGTTGCTGAGATATTTGCAGCAAAAGTTTTATAAATTGCGCCATCTTGGAAAAAATTTTGATAAAATTATCTCGAGCGGTAGTGACGTCATTGGCTGGTGAGCAGTCAAAACAACAATACAATGTACTTTGTGATTGACTGCGTTACAACACATTTAAAGCGTATTTTACGGGGTTTTTTTGCTGTAATGGATGACATACACAAAAATCAACCGGGTGAGGTTCTGCCCTATCAATATGAACCTGAAGTGAAGGCCGAAACTAGTGAAGAAAGCGGTTCCGAACAGGAGAGTGAGCACAGCGACTTGTCCTCTTCGGATGCTGAATTTGAGAAAGCAAATGCTTAGCGCCTTCAAACTCTTAGTTGGTGTAAGTGTGGACATTGTACTTTGTCAAAAAAGGCAATCGAGTGTTTTTGTTGCCACGAAAAAGCGCTTGAATACGATGAGTATGAGGCTTTGCTAAGCCAAACAGAAACTCAAGGAGTAAATTGCTTGACAACACACCAGGAATTTAGGGACAATATGCTCTCAGAAAGTGTGTTAAAGATAGACGTGTGTCGGTATCTTGAAGAAAACTGGCCCCTGTCTGATGAGGATCTAGAGAGAATACACAAGCTGTATCGATTAGTTGCCTATCAAAGATGTTCTAGGTGGATTTTTCAAATTTTGGGGAAGAAACATCGACGACCATTTCCTGCTTGTGTTTATGCTAGCATACGAAAACGCTTCGCGTCACCAGACGGACTTTATACACATTTTAAATACGCATATCATCACGAAAGACCGTAAATTTAGTCTTAGACAGACGCTCTTTGATGTTCTTTGTTATGATCTGCAATTGCGATGCCATATCATTTTCAAAGGATTGTCACGAACTGCGCAAAAGCAAAATGCATGAGTGATCCACCCAAAACTTGTATTCATTCATAAGTTATAAAGTTAATAGAAAAGTGTACTTGTACATTGTGCACACAAACACGCACGTAAAACATTACGGATAAACGAAACTCTACAGTCATGAACAAAACATAGCGGCTTATAGCTTATCACCTATATAAAACTACATAATCTTTCAAAGACTCTTATGTATATTAATAATAAATTAAACGTATAACTCATTTGTTGGTGACAGGTTTGTAATATGGTAAAATGAAATATTTCTATTGCACGAAATGTTCAGTGTATAAAACGCGCTTGTTGTTGAAATATTTCTATTGCACGGCTTACACTTGGTATGTCGGCAAAACCTAGTTGTAAGATCTGCTAAAATAAACGTTTCTACGTCTTATAATCGTAACAACCGCTGACTGTTGTTTTTGTTTTAAAATTCCAGTGAACAAATGTGCTAAATATTATTATAATACTAGTATTTTATATTGTGTCATTCAGAGGATACCAGCCAATGGCGTCAGTAATGTATTCCGGCATAATTTAGCATAAGGCTTTTTTTTCAAAATGGCGGATAAGGTTCAACTTTATGTCAAATTTTCTCAACAGCAAAATTCAAAAGAGACACGAAAACACGAAATTAAGTATTCCATAGCTATCTATGATAAACGTATGAAAAAAAAATTTTCGTTGCCAATGTCCTTTAAAGATTCATACCTCTAAAATAACCGTATCTTTAGCGTTTCGCCTTCTTCTAAACCATAATTCAAATCTAAGACCGCTTTCGCCAACTGACTCAGTCAGACCAATGTCTGCCGTCTATATAAATGACATGTTTATAGGATAATGTATTTCGGTTCATGGAAGCCAACTTTAAAAGTACATCTTTCTTGTAAAAAAAATTCATTAATAACTAGGTAGCTATTGAAAACAAAAACAGTGCGATCCGTCTTATGTTTTGATAGACTTGTGTTGTAAATCTACTCTCCATTTGAGAAAATTTCCTGTGAGAAATTTTGTGGAAAACATAATCCAATCTTGACACGAAATAAGAAAGAAAAACCACTATCGAGATTATGGCGTTGCAAACACGCGAACAAAGGACTTCGATATCTAATCGTGGTTTGGATGTCCATATCTGATTTAAAGTCATTTTCGCACAAAAAAAGCAAACCTTTAGTGAGCTTTTATAAATAAAAATATCCGCGCCACTTGTTTGTTTTCTTGCTTTGCTGAAAAGTACCATGTCTTCAAAAAGGAATACTCGACGAAAGTGTTTCTTTCTCGATTGCCACACGATGAAATCGTCCTAAATTGAAGAAATTACCCTTTTACTAAAAAAAATCGAAGTTCAAATAATTTAATTCAAACTTACCATACGTAAAAGTTTTCCTTGTTCCTTTACGTTGACCTAAAGCAAAATAATTTTTTGAGAATCTTCGAACAATTTTCGTTGAAAATTCGCTCACTCATGGCTTTCCAACAACCTGACAACGGTTTCACAAACAATGGGTTAGCATTTGAACAATCAGAATGCAACTGTTGCAACAGTTACAAAGTGTAGACTGATTTACGCTGCTAAAAAGGTCGGCAAGTTGTCTACAAAAGGCAAATTGTTCACACAACAGAATCAAGCTCAAAAGCCATATTGTACTTCGTAAATAAGCGAATAGCTTCAAGTTGATAAAAAAACATCATCGAAGTGTAAAGTACTTTATAAAAAACGAATGTTGAAAAAGTTCTGCGATTTTCAGGACTGAAATTTCCAGGGCTACACAACTGCTTCAACCCTTTCATATTTACGTGAACACAGGTACCATCAATAACATCGTTTGCTTTAGTTCGTAATTTAATTAAAGAGATTCGCGAGTTAAAAAATGAAAAATAACATTAAAGCATACATCACATCCCCGTAAAGAGTCCATAGCCAAAAGATCGTTGCCATGTCGTAGTTGAGATTTGACCATTTCAACAGCACTCTAAAAATTCAAGTGTTGAGATGTTATAAAGTTAATGACGTCAGCAAGACATAAAATAATTAAAAAATTACCCGTAGATGCGTTGTAAACGAGGAATGAATTTCAATCACTTTGATCATGTCCTAGAAAAGAGGGCAGCAGATGAATAAAATAATGATAAAGATAAAATACAAAAACTTAGGTACTTCATGCATGTTTTTCTTCATATTTAGAAAACCAGACATTTTTCCACTCAAGGTGGATACAATCAAATATCAAATCTCTTTTTTTACCTGTAAAAGCAAAGCGTACTTTCCAATGCGTTGAACAGGTTTGATGAGGTAACTGCACAAATCCAGTTTATCTTGCAGTTCATCTTGTCGTTTCTTTAAACGAAAGATTGAAATCGTCGGCAATGTGCGAGATAATTGTTGAAAATGGTTTGCTGTCAATGGCTGTTATATTAAAGAAGAGCTGAAGAAAGAACGAGACAGCAGCTGAAGGCAGAGGTAGAAGGGAGCTGAAGAAAGAAAACACAGCACCTGAAGGTTAAGGGAAAAGGGAGCTTAAGAAAGAACGAGACAGCACAGCAGCTGAAGGCAGAAAGAGACTAAGAGAGCAGTTGAAGAAGGAGCGAGGTAGCAGCTAAAGACAGAGATAGAAAGCAAAAGTGAGAGAGAAGGTTTGTTGTTAAAAGGACTTATTAGTAATAGAAAGAATAAATACGAAGATATTTTCTTACCCTGAAATGAACGCTACCATGATCACGAAGAAGCTCGTCAGATATCGGCTTGTTCTTGTTATACAACGCGTACAAAAAGAACTGCCTTTCCTACAGCACAAATAAATCAAAAAGTTTCATGATAATTTTCCTTCACTTCAAGATAAAATACATGTCTTTCTCACCCATTTCAAAAACGTAGCAGCAACTTGATAAGGTCTTTCTAGACATTGCTCAAGTTCTTGTGAAAAATGTCTGTGAAAGAAAATCAAGATAAAAATATGGAAGTTAAGTTTGAACAAACAACACGAGTTTTAGTCTTGAATGAAAGAAAATATTCAAGTTCTTGTGAAAATTTTCTGTGAAATGAAGTTAAGCGTTAAAATATAGAAGTTAAGTTCAAACAAAGAACACGAGTTATAGTCTTGAATGAAGGAAAATGTTAAAGTTCTTGTGAAAAATGTCTGTTGAGCATTCAAATATGGAAGCTTAGTCTACAGTCTGTATAGTATACCACTAGCCAGGAGTACTTATAGTAAACTAAATTTCAGGCCTCTACTAACCCGCGCGGCCATATCAAAGATGGTGACCGATATGTACTTTCGAGATTAAACAAAAGATTTTATGTCTGTCAACAAGAGAGAAATGTTGGAAACAGAAAAATTACCTTTGGTGAAAGTCATACAATCGTTCAATATTTCCAAATATTAAATTTTTCCTGCCTCGTAATGACGCCGGTAGATCGTCACTCTCCATTTCCTTTACATAATTCTACACGAAGAAATTCTACGAAATTACTAATAACGTATACACTTCATAAAATTAACTCCAAGATTACCTGGATTACGTAATCCAAGGATTTGACATAATCTCTTTCGGTAGTGACCATTTCATCCACAATATATAACAACTTTCTAAAAAACAATAATGGCCTTGAGTCTTTAAGGAAATTATATGGATGTTTATGGACAAAAGATGGATTTCTATGGACAAAAGATGGATTTCTATGGACAAAAGATGGATGTTTATGGACAAAAAATTGATGTTTCATTTTAATATAAAGCTTGCAAACTTACTCTTTGGTTTTTTCTGAAAGTTTTTGATAAGTTTGTTCATCTTCTTCTCCAGCAGTCTGAAAAACAAATCCATTTTGATTTACTACCAAAGTAAAACGTTTATTGATCAAAAAAGTTGATAACGTATTTTCAAAAGATTTCAGTTGAGGATTCGTTATGTATACAAGAACATATTACTGGATTATTGGTTATATGTAGAGGGAAATATTACTGGATTATAGGTTTTATGTAGAGGGAAATATTACTTGATTATAGGTTATATGTAGAGGGAAATATTACTTGATTATAGGTTATATGTAGAGGGAAATATCACTGGATTATAGGTTATATGTAGAGGGAAATATTACTTGATTATAGGTTATATGTAGAGGGAAATATCACTGGATTATAGGTTATATGTAGTGGGAAATATTACTAGATTATAGGTTATATGTAGAGGGAAATATCGCTGGATTATAGGTTATGTGTAGAGGGGAAACATTGCAGAAATGCTTGTTGTGTGGGAGGGAAATATCATAGGAATAATTGTTGAAAAAGAAAAAAATAAATGGAATCACAGCGAACAAAACAAAGTGAATAAAAGCTCAATTATCGTCTTCAAAATCATGACATAAACATACATCTTTCAAGTTATAAAACAACTGTTGTTCTTCTTCATTGACGTCAGAACGAGCAACTTTCTTCGTTGGAGATAAATCTTGAGGAAGATCTAATTTATCATCATCATCATCACTGTCCATGTCCCCTTCCTCATCGTTTGCACACGAGGTTGAGTTCGATGTTGATGTAGATGACGATCCCTCGCTGGTACCGTTTGTGGATACATCAGAGACCTATGGATAAAGGGGATTTTTATGGATGATCAGGTAACATTTACAATTAATAATCACAAGCTTCTCCAAAGCAACGTACTAGACAGTTTGTTTATAGAACGATATTTGTAATGAACTGTTATTTCCATAGGAGTATATAAAGTGGTGACAAAAATATCAATTGACGGCAGTTGAAAATCGCTAACACCACCATACTTGCTAGGTTAAAAAATCTCCATAAAACATACCTGTACGCGTACGGCCGCCCTCTGTAATGTTTCCTGGCGTTTTAAAAACATTTCCTCGACTTCCTTGTACTCCGCAACAGATTTCTCGGCCTGATTTTGTAGATCTTCGTTCTTCAATTTACCAGAAAGTTCATTTAAGTTATTTAATCTTTCCTTTGACCACATGGGAAATTCTTGAAGAAATCCTTCCATGTTTTCTTTCAGTGAAGCGACACCTTTAGAGGAGTTTGATGCTTCCATATTCATCAATGCCATGTGTTTCAATGCTTGAATTCTCCATTCAGAACTCTGTAATGACGTAAGAGATGTCTTTAATGGAAATAATACTTAAAATAGTGTAGTAAAACTTTGAAAATTGTTTCAAAAATAGCTAATACCATGGAGTATGGTCAAAATAATAACGTTAAGATAGGAGTATGATATGAATAAGCCAATGATAAGAACGAAAGAAAGTTTATGTAATGTCATCAGTAACCTAGCCAGCCTGCAGACTTACTCCTGTTACGTAAGTTCCTAAAGATTATCATTGTTCATTTCTTTAAAAATCTGTTGTTCTCACGACAGGTCAACATAAAAATATTTGTAAAACAGTGGTATAAATTCAGACTGGTTACGCCACTGTGTATCATGATGATTTACAAGTTGTTGTCTCCAAGTTCTCGAGTTGAAGTTTTTTCTCTTCTCTCTTACTTCATCTAAGTGGATTATCCATTGACTGATAAAACACGTAATATGACAAGTTACACCAATTATTTACACGAACAAGAAACCACATGGAATAAACAGTCTGACCAATTATTTACATGAAAGAGACACCAAGTGGTATAAACAGTCAGACAAATACTTTACACGAAAGAGACACCAAGTGGTATAAACAGTCCGACCAATACTTTACACGAAAGAGAAACCACGTGATACAAGCAGTCAGACCAATCATATACATGAAAGAGACACCAAGTGGTATAAACAGTCAGACCAATACTTTACACGAAAGAGAAACCACGTGATACAAGCAGTCAGACCAATCATTTACATGAAAGAGACACCGAATGGTATAAACAGTCAAACCAATAATTTACATGAACAAGAAACTACGTGATACAAGCACTCAGACCAATCATTTACATTACCTCACTGATCATTTTATGAAACTCCATACACGTGACCAGAGCGACACGTCTTTCCTCTAGTGCTGTAGTGAATTGATCCAGTCTCGTCTTCAGTACCTTTGACATTTCCTTTACACCAATGCAATCATCAGTTCCCCACTGAGCTATGTTGCTACCATCCTCCAGTAAATCTTGAGCTTGCAGTATATAACTCTATGAAGAAATAATTGATGTAAAATTTGAGGAAACGCGAAACGTCTGAAAATTGTACGGTATGGATAAAGTTGTACAATCCGAGATAACGATGTATTGCATGAAAGATATAATCTACTGTAGTTTTTACTTCATAATCCATACAATAATACCTCAGCGGGAATCAGAAATTTCTCGAAGTTACCATGGTAACTGAGCGCCTGTCCATACGACTCTGCAATCTCCACAGGTTTTTCTAAACAAGGCATACCGACATCCTGTAACCACTCTAATACCTAAAAGAGCATTTAAACCATACATTACAAAAATCGTGTCGAATAAAGATAGCCTATAGTATCAATAAATTTTACAGTAATGACCGTTGAACTAAAATACATCTATGTCAAGATAACTTGACTGTAGCTACACTTCTTCCAGCGCGTGTTATAAATAATATGATTTCTAAGTTTAAGATCAATTGCGACTACGCTGTTCGCGGTTGCAATGAATTTATAAATGTTGAAAATCTTGAAAGAGTTGAAAGACATGTTGAAAATTATGGATTTGCTCCAGTGTTGTGTTCTAATGAACGTTGTGACAAGGAGATAAACAAACGAGGCAAGATTAAACATGAAACTGAGTTACGTGTGAAATTGCTCCTCATGACTTTGAAGAGATTAGAGAAATGTTTCAACGAAGTTTTGGGGAACAAGTAAAAATACAGATAAATGAAATACATAAATTGGATCAAAAGTTTATAGAAATAAATGAATCAGTAAAGAAGAAAGTTGAGCCATTGAGAGAACAATGTACGGAAATACGTAAAGAAATGATGGAATATTCAACAAAATCTTTCTACAGTGACCAAAGAAATGATGGAATCAAGGAAAGAAATAAAAGATATTCAACAAAATCTCTCTTCAGTGACCAAAAAAATTATGAAATCAAGGAAAGAAATAAAAGATGCTCAACAAAATCTTTCTTCAGTGACCAAAAAAATGAAAGAACTGAAAGGTTATGATGTTTCAAATTTTACAAATGTTGGATATAAATATGAAACATGTTCAAACATTGACATCAACTACTGATGGAATGATGAACTCAGGAAAAGAATATATTTTGATTGCTGGTGGTTACTCAGGTGGTTCTTCAAAGAGTATTGAAATATTTTCATGGAAGGAGGAAAAATGGTTTAATATTGCATCAATGGAAAATGAACACTGGTGTGCTTCATCATTTATTTATGATGATAATTTATTTCTTGTTGGAGGTGGCTGCAAGTCAATGGAGACGTTGAATATAAAACAGTCACCTTTGACATGGAGAAAATTTCCTACAGAGTTTCCTTATGAATGTTGGTATCATCAAACTGTTGTTTATAAACAACAACTCCTTCTCATTGGAGGATTTATTGATGGTAAAGACGATTTGATCTGATCAAAGAAATAAAGATTACTGGTAAAACATCTTATGTTTTAAAAGAGTTGTGTCATATGCCTAAACCACGTTTGTACCCTGGAGCTGTTGTTGTTGATGATAAAGTTCTTATTTTTGGAGGACAGGGAAAAGATGGCAAAGTTTTGTCCAGTGTTTTGGAGTTTGATCCAAGGAGTCTTACATTTAAGGAAATGTCTCCATTACCTCATCCATGGAGAGGAATGGAAACAGTTCAATGGAGAGATCAAGTTGTTCTTCTTGGAGGTTATCATGGAAGAGAATTTGTGAACAGTGTTATCATGTATGACTGTAATACAGGAAAGATTACAGTATTACCATCCATGTTGGAAAAGAGATTAAGGTGTTGTGCTGTTATAACAGGTGATACAAGGTGACAGGTTGTCATGGGAGGTATGAACAATAATCGTGAAGATCTTAAATCAGTGGAGTGTTTCGAAATGGGAAGTAGTTCTTCATGGACATATCTTCCTTCAATGAATGAATCACGAGATGGAGCTATTGCTGAAGTTTTACCTTTTGGACAAAAGTATGAATAAGCAAGAAAATATTCTCCAAAACAATCAATATTTAAAGTTAAATATGCAAATCTCCAATATTCATATAACCTTTGATTATTATAATAAATTACTGGAGAAATAAATGACTTTGGTATTTTACTAAAGACTGAGGTAAAGGAAAATTTATAGCATTAGTTTTTGTTCAGAATCTTTAAACTGCAGTGTGTGGATTTGACCAATTGTTTTGTCAAGTCTTTGCTTATCAAAATCAAAATCACTGCCAAAAGTACACAGCATATTTACCATACAATTTTCATTCCCCTAACATGAGGAAAAGCGTGATAAAAATACAAGGTTATTGTTGATGAACAAGCAAAAATTTCCACAAGTCTTAGCGAGTTTTTTCTCTGGCGCGGATAAACATTACTGAGAATCGGTACGCTTTACTTTCGAACTTCATGAATATTCGGTTATGTAAACTTTTTCGCAGAAGTGTTTTTAGCAAAAGCCAGAGTTATTTTAGCGGGAGCAGAAGTTAAATATTCTCTAAAAATTTTTATTGTTCTCATGTTGAATACAATCAAACGCCGACTCACTGATGAGATGAAAAAGATTCATAAAAATAGCTTTTGTAATGTTGCTCCAATTTTCTTCATAACAACGGCAAAAAGTATTGTATATTTTGGTATTAAAACTCTTCCAGTAAACTGGGCAAACATCTTAATAATTTCATACCTTAGCGTATTCCTCGTGAAAGCATTTCAACTGTAGACAATCCTCGAGCTCTCGTTTTCGTTTTCTATACAAAACTTCCAGCTTGGAGAACACTTGATTCATTTTGAAATATAATTTCGAGACAATTTCCATGGTATATTTCCAGTCTTGTGTTTTATTTGAGTTATCTGTCTGCTGCATGTCAGACACAAGTTGTTCACCTTCGACTTGCAACGCAGACAGGCGGCTGTCTGAAAAGATGGCGCTCACTTTTTTATCGTGTTCTTCGAGCAATCTCTGACATTCTTCTACCGTTTCACCAAATTTTCCTATCCCAAGTTCATCTATTGCCGTCAAAGCCAGCTTTGTTGCACTTCGACAACCCGTCATGAAGGGTTCTTGTTTCTAAAAAAGACCACATTTGAAACTAAATGTTGGAAAAGCTTCACTCCTTTTTTCAAGGTTAATTGGAGACACTGCCTTCTTCAAAGTCAATATTAGAGACGCTACCTTATTCCAAGCTTACATTAGAGACACTCCCCTCAAATTTATAGTAGAGACACTCCCCTATTCCAAACTTATATAAGAGACGCAGCTCTTTCCAAGTTTATATTAGAGGCAATCCCCTGTTACAAGTTTATATTAGAGACACTCCCCTATACGAAACTTATATTACAGACGCAGCTCTTTCAAAGTTTATAATAGAGACAGTCCCCTGTTACAAGTTTATAATAGAGAGGGTCCCTCTAACATGTGTATTTAGATGAACATAGAATTGTTCCATGAAGCTGAAACGGTTAAAGAAAAAAACTCAATAGACAAAAATCTATGTCGACTAATCTTCAAATCCTATTAAAATAAAGCTTAATTCGATCGTTCGAGAGATTTGACTGCACGTAATCAAGGCAAACTATTGTACAAACACGCACAAGAAAGGTTCGAGAAAAACATATCACATGAATTGTGTCATAGCTGAACATCTTATAGTCCAATTTACTGAATGTACGAATCTTCAGCAAAGACTAGAAATTTGTCTAAATGTACAAAGTAATTAACATGTGTCAAAATGTACAATGTTATCAACGTGTTTCAAATTTTATAATTTTATCAACAAATGTACCATGTAAAATGTTATACGTAGACATATTAGTCTATAACAAATTGTTTTAGAAATGTGTCAAGACTTTGTGTGAAGATCAACAATGTTCACGAAACGCATCAAAGTACAAAATCGTACAACGTGATAAAATTCTCACCAATCGAAACTGCAGCCAGGCACCGTGATCGTACTCAAAGCTTCCGCCGAAGGTCGTGGGAATTTGATCCATTGAAATGGAAGATAGCACATCATCAAAAGACGAAAGCAATTTGAACTAAAAACAGAAATTTTCATGAACTTTTTCGCAAAAGGGCAACACGAGTCTTTCCACCCACCTACCCCAACACTCCACAACTCACTTGAAATTTAAGTTTTTCTTTTAGTTTATCAGCACTGAACATCAAAAGATGTGAATCTTTTCGTTCGAGGATGTAGGCAATGTGAACGCTACCTGGTTGCATCTCCTATGGAGATGAAAAATACAAGCATTAGATTACAAAAGAAATTCAAAGTTGAAAAACATAAAAAGAAGTGAAATATTTCAATGTAAATAAAATATAAATTTGAAACTCGTAGTCCTCTGCTTTGACAATTAAAGCATGTTTCAGATTCCTCCTAAAAATCATAAGTATTCACGATTTTTACGCTCTCAAACTTTTACAATGACATGTGATCATAAAGTACATATCAATCCAGTCAGTGGTCCTACATATCACGAAGTCCATGACTCGAATGAAAAGCTATAAGACCATTTGAACTATGGATTTATCGAAAGTATAAAGAATGAAAGAGAAATTTTAGAATATCGGGAAAGAAAATTGGAATATCGGGAAGATTTGACACACGTCAACATTGCAAATTCCTATGACTTTCAGAAGTAACGTGAAGCAAGTTTGTAGACCGACAAACAGTCGTTAGATGATCACCGGTTCTTCAGCTCTCTCGATAAACGTGATTTATGTTAACCAAAGCCAAAAAGTTCGTTTGCTTTTAAAATCATTACGCCTCACCAATTAAAACCGCAAAAATGGCATACGTTGCAACATTAGCAGTAGCATCAGTTTACGTAGGTCAAAGTCATGCTTATCATACACCAAAACAAGATCAATGTACAGCCACTAAAGATATTGCATGTTATACCATCATCAGTAACATAACCAAAAGCTTTGCCAAATAACCAGTGCACAAAAAAATCACTTCATCTCCGTTCGGTAAATTGCGCGAGACGCCATAGTTCTCTGTTGTTGTTAGTCGTTAAAAAAATTTTTCACACAGAGATAAGGGGGCGACAAGATCTATACCCACGGATTTATCGAATTCTTCTACGACTAATAAAGTGTCCGATTACAAAATACACTGTTTTGAGAAAGAACATAACTGATGCCGACAAATGAGCTTAGCTAATGAAGCTTCTCTGCCCGTCTCGCCCGTAATAAATCTTGCAACTGACAACACGCAATTGCGAATCTGACAATTACGTGGCGAGGTTCGTGTTTTGCACAAACAGAAAAACGACAATAGAGAATCGCAAAGTTAAATTAAATGATTTGTCTTCACATGATTATTTCGCAAGAACTATTTTTTATCACAACATACACGGCATCATGTGAACTTTGCGAGTTCACTATTACATATTTGTGGTTATTCTTCACTTGAGGGCAATAAATTGATGAACATATAGAAATTCACCGTTGATTTTTGTGAAAGCGCTGTACATCATTGATTTGCCACTCAGCAAGCGCAGTAAACAAAGACAATTTCCCCTTCTTCCCCCCAGATAGACTTTCGTTAAAATCTTTCGTCCGTCTTTTAAGAGCGAACAGCACTCACACAAAAACTCATTATGGTCCAGCTTCCATATGCAGAGCTGCAAAAGGAGTTCAGCTTTTATACGAGTGAGATTTCGTGTTTTGAAAACCTTCCGCAAAATTACGTCATATCACTAAGCATTGCTACACGAATCACGAAATTACATCATGAATCAAATTACAACTTTCTGCACTCAGGTACATACATAAATGGTATATTGAGAAATTCTTAATAAGTTTTTACTTTATTTGTATTATTTGTTATCATGGTGATAGACATTGCATCCGGAATCATCACAATAGTAAGAGCCAAAAAGCAAATCCGAGTTAAGTTTGAAGTGCCAAAAAGCGATTTGCACTTTACGTGTGATTAATTGGAATGTATAACTTTGATTGAACCTTCTTCACAAACCTTTCTTTTGCATCTCATGTGATACCAGTGCAATCGCAGTTTTTTCACACCTCTACTTTTTGTATGTTAGTCTTATGCGAGATCACCGTCAAAAAACGAGGAAAATTTACTTAACTACACCAAGTACTTGAGTAAATACATGGAGAGCAGAAAAATGGAATTTCTATTGTGCCCCCAATGACCATAAACATCGTATCAAATGACGGAATATGAATAAAAAGTATCACACAATGCGTGGTATACAAGAGCCAGTTTGGCCATTTTCGGTCAAAACACTGGTCAATTGCCTTTTTGAAATCCGTTTGGCAGGGAAAATAATCATTGCCCAGCCAAAGTAAATCTGGCTATATTTGGTCTTTTCATATTTTGCTACAGTATTTTCCTACTTTACACGATCAATGGTTAAATTTCTGTGTATTATTTGATGATTACGAAAGCCAACTCCCATTATGTATTCAGCACGATTGCAATCCTGTGACTGGGTACTAGTTTATTATTATGATTAGTAATAGACGTGATGATAATATTAATGCCTATCACTTTGCTAACCCGTAGGGCCGCGCGGGGTTAAGTATTGTAAGTTACTTGCATATATTACGCATCTTTGTTACCACTACTGAAGCTTTTCCGCTCCTGAGAAATAAACATTAACTTTTAACAGCAAAATTAGGCACTGAAATAAATACAACGTGAATTTGTAATGGTCTTTTTTTGCTTCACACAACCTTTAATTAAGAAAAAGAAAACATTCTCTGTTTCTGTCATTCTTCTGTCTTCTGTAACTCAATAGGAACAAGTAAATATGTCTTATATTTCCTTTAAAAAATGATCTTTTAAAAACAATAGTAAATTTATCGATTTTAATGACGTATTGTTCGTGTCGAGCATTCAACCAATCAGTGCCCGTCTTTTTAAATAGCTATTTTATAATGCAAATTCACTGATGAGGCTTAGTATTTCTCCGAACGTTTCTTGCTTCAAACTTAACGTACCTCGAAAAAAACTAGAGCTTCCCCGATGATCTGCAAAGTCTTTTTGTTATGGTCAGCGTTTTGTGCATCAACAAAAATAGACAAACCTAGTTTCGAAACTTCTTCCCTAAAAGAACGAGAATAGAATTATTTTCCCAAATGCAAAATAACAAAAAAACGTTGTGTATAAAAGAGCTAATAAATACGTAATTCTTTTACGTACGTGTAAATATAGAACATATAAACCAATGATTCTATTCTCTTTTTTTCAAATAAATGCCTGCAGATAAATAGACTCCCAAACCACTAAGAAAACCAAAGGTGCTTGGCAGACTTCCGGTTTAACAAATAACTAATATCCAAGGATAGTGCAAAGGATAGTTGACTCATAATTTGAATCAAGCATAAAATGTTTTACATTTCTTGTACTTATTTCACCATTAACTCCCATATAATTATCATTCACGTATCATGAGGTGAACAACCATTGATTTCATGGGAAATAAATATATTGTAAATAGAAGTCATCACAAACTATCGTTTAAATAACCAGTTGTTGTCTTGTTGTTCACAGTTTACACGTAAGCGCTTTTTTGTTCACCGAGTAATATCTATATGGTTGTGTAGTGGCTACTTTTATTTTACGCACAGGGGAGGGGGAGGGGAAGGGGGAGAGGGGGAGGTAGGTGGTCATTGAGGCAAAGAGTTTTAAAATGTATTTGTTGAAACAAGCCAAAGAAGACAGAAAACTTGCCAATAATACATGACTGAAAACTTGCGCAGTCCACTCGACCAACTGATGAAGTTCATACCGATAAACTGGATACTTAGATATGTGTGTGCCACTGATCTCGAAAAAAGACAGGATCATGTAACTCTATATTTTTAGTAAACAAATTTTGAAGCCACCGCCGCCATTACTAAGGGACCAACACATCGAAAGATTTTTTATAAAAACTATGGAAAACATAGCTACACAAGGACAAATTATGCTTTAAGATAACACAGAAGATGAAGAACAACCTTTGTGACGATAGTGAAGCGAGTCAGAAAGAATAATCGGCCGTATAAAACAAAACGCATACAGGTTTCACTCGGAATCACTCGTAAAAAAGGCTTGTAATTTTAAAGGATTGATCAGTTTATGATCGTAAATGAGATCATTTAATCAGTTTGTATTTCTGAACAACGATTCCAACAATTCTAGGTATTTTCATGCAGTTGTGGGCAATTTTCCACAGTTTTTCCATACCAAAGTAGAGTTACCGATGACAAAAATCGCTGCATTTTGATCATATTTCATCGTATTTTTAGCTTATCTATAAACTGATTTATCTCTTAGTTATGTTAATTTAGTTTTATGTTGAAAATTCTTCATTATTCTTGTATAAATCCACAATATATTTTCTCCTTATTTTCGAAAGTTGGTCCCTTAGTAATGGCGGCGCTCCTTATTTTTTGTCTTCAACTTTTGTGCTAGGTGTTAGATGCTTGTCCAGTCTTATTTCGAGATCAGTGGTGTGGTGTGTCCACGTGTTTTTAACGACATTTCCTGACGTCGTGGATGAGTTGTAGCTCAGGGATTCCAAAATATATGTTTAAAATCACAGGTCAGTCTGAATATTGTTACGACGGATGATGCAAACAACAAATAAAAATTTTATTTCTGAAGAAACGGCAATACCATAGACGTTCATAAAATATCTAATCTTCACATCTATCTCATCTATATCGCAGCAGACGGTTTGTTGTCAAAAGAATAAAGATGGCGTCACAAATCCCTGGAAAATTTCGGATGAAAATTGTTACGTGAAAACAAGGTTCGACAACTTTTCATTTCATAGAAGTCTAGACAGTTATCAACTTTTAAACTCTTATAGGTTGCATATAAAAATGTTTAGAGACCCGATAAGAAATCCAATGTTAGTGGTCAACAAGCAGGAGCGAAACTAGAACGCTAATTTGTGGGAGGGAGGGGGGAGAATGAATGAATATTCATATATTCAGATCTGCCCTGCTTATTTCTTTTGTTGGCAATTTTAATTTCAAAAAAAATCAGAGGGGGAGAGCTGAATTCATGAAGATTCAACCCCCACACACAAACCCAATTACCGTTCTAGTTTGTCAAAAAGCATTCTATCTTTCTTCCGGTCACAGGTCTCAAAAAACAGAAAATAATAGAAGTAAACTTATAAAGTCCCCGCTGGAAACAACTACAGCATTAGTAAAGCACCTTACGTTCTGCCGTATTTCTAACATAAGCGAGCTTTAGCAAAGACTCGTAGATGTTCTTCAATACAAGAACGACAAAAGATGTGTTCGTTATGCTGACACATTAGGGAGCTTTAGCAAAGACTACGAGTACGATTTACGTCATTTTGGCGCGAAAACATTGTTGCGACAACAACAACACGTAGCCGTCTTCAATTTGAGTACGATGTTTTGTAAAAAATTCGTAGTCGCAACTACGATGGCTTTTTAAGCAAAGAAAGTAGGTATATTTCTTCATTCTGTAAGAAATTAGTTTACAGTACTATTTTCGAGCATCCTGGCTTTAATTTAGAACCCTTTTTGAGCGCAGATGTACATTAAAAAAGAAAATATGACCTGCAAAACTTTCATGTATTTCGTACGCAGAGTGAAAGGTAAGCAAACAATAAAATAGTACAAATATATCGTACATAAAACTTAAAATAGTGAAGATTTTTCACTCTAAAGAGTCCTATATTCTCGCAAAACTAGTATTACCGATTAGTTGATATCATTATTGACAAATAGATCTGTAGCTGCTTCGCAAACGTCGGTGTTTTTCACAATAAAAGGCTCGTTCTGTTGTTTACAGCTAAAACAAAATTTTGACGAAGCGACAACGACAACAAACTTCCTCGTGCCATTCCCTTACACGGTCAAACTTCGTACTCGTCGTTGTAGTCGTACTCTTACTAAAGCTCCCTATTAGCTACTACGCATCTAAACAATACGTAAATAGTTTACCGAACGCTGTACGCAATGTTTACTTGCCTGGGAATTTGAAGGAAATATAAACATATTCGTGCTATTTCTTCGCTGTTGAAATCTGGAATCTGCCATTCCGACTTTCCAGCATCAAAAAATATCACAGGTGCACCCCTGGCGTCCCTTGTACCTACGCGGGAAAATGGAAACTAGAAATACGAATTATATTACAAATTAAAACCCGATGAACAATAAAATAACAACAATACAACGCGTGCGCTGATTGGTCTATAGTTGAGTTTGCATTATCCTGTGCAAACCGATGTCAGCTCAGTCAATAAAAGCAATTAGCTACAGAGAATATGCAAACCCATCATTATACATGTTGTGGGAAAAATTGAAAAACTTGTTTCGAGTTTATATGTTTTTATTTAAAAAAAAGTAATAAAAGATGTTTATTGTGTTTGCACTGGGTTATGCAATGTGAACCGAGGAGACATTAGCAAGAACTCGCTCTCGGATTTGCACTGATCAGCTCTAGAATTCTCTCAAAGGTCTCCTCGATTTGCATAAGCCAGTGCGCACACAGTAAACATCTTTTATTTCTTAATAGACCTTTTCAAGGTTATCGTAGCCATATTGCAGGGGGTGCAAAAACATTGGGCCGAGCGCGCGGTCACGCATGGCGTCCATATAAATTACTAATAAATGCGCAAAAATTACCCTTATACATATTGGCCATTTCTTTCAAAGATATTTCTCAAACTCGTCCATTTTAATAGTCGAATTATTATTTGCGATTTTTTATACATGTGAGTCCAATTTTGTGGTAATCAAAAAGCGGAAAGTTAAAGAAAACATTTGTTTTCTTTGAACAACTTGACCGTCGTTTGAGCGATGTTCTTGTGTTCGCAACACACGCACATGTCTACAGCAAAGTCAGCAGCAGATATCGCGAGGAACTATTCTACGGCAAACTCTTATCAGTATTTCCAATTATTTGTAAAGTGACATTGCTATTTTTATTATTATGTATGGCGACTAAACAGCCAGAAGAAGAAACAGCCAAGTATTCAAATACACACTTAAAACTGTTAGTCGATGGCAGGCCGGTGTGAAACCTTACATCATACTCTCTCATCAACTGTTCAAATTCCTAAGGGACAGAGAGTAAAGATGCCTCAGATTTTGCTGGATTTCCATCAAAACTTGAATCAGAATCCTCGGTGTCATAGGATTGATGAGGACGCTTTGATGTCGTCCATGTTTCTCCTCCTTTACGTTTAAGCGGAGTCCTCGATTGCTCGTACTCTGATAGCGTAATAAAAACCGAAGGATAATCCGTTCCGCAGTTATTTGGGGTTCTTCCCAAGGGAAAATAATTTCAGCAAACGAAACTACCTTGTGCACCAGGCTTTGGGTTAAAGTCATCGGCTCTGCTGTTGGCAATTTGTTTTCGCCAAATTTCAGCGAGTGCTTGATCTTTGGGCCACTTATGAAAAACTAACTTTTCTACGTGAGACCTCTTAACTTGATAATCAGGATAGCGTTTATCATTATCGCAATATCCAACTGCACAACGCGCATTTTTTACCATTTCGGCTATGACTGCTCACGGCTAGTCGGCTAGTTTAGGGTTTAGTTCGTTTGACTTGGCTTTTGAGTTCCGCATATTTGCGAACTCAAGAACATCGCTCAAACGACGGTCAAGTTGTTCAAAGAAAACAAATGTTTTCTTTAACTTTCCGCTTTTTGATTACCACAAAATTGGACTCACGTGTATAAAAAATCGCAAATAAAAATTTAACTATTAAAATGGATGAGTTTGAGAAATATTTTTGAAAGAAATGGCCAATATGTATAAGGGTAATTTTTGCGCAGTTATTAGTAATTTATATGGACGCCATGCGTGACCGCGCGCTCGGCCGAATGTTTTTGCACCCCCTGCAATATGGCTACGATAACCTTGAAAAGGTCTATTATAAAATAAAAACAATTAAACACGTGCGCTAATTGGGCTGTAGCTGATTTCGAATTAACCCATGCAAATTGATCCGAACTCAATCAATTTAATCAATCAAAGAGAATTTGCGAATCACTCAGTCTCCGGTTTGCACTGATCAGTTCTCGAGTTCTTCCAAACTTAACTTCCAAACTTCCAGACTGAGAGGGACCATATTCATACAAATTGCTATGACAACCTGATTTCCTTTGAATGTGAAATTGCTTTGAAAAGAGATAGACCACACATAGCAAAACATATGAATATCATCCAATGTAAGCATTTGCAAACAAGAAAACGCAGTTTTACTTTCTAAACGTTTTCTTTGATTATTCGTTAAAAACGATGTCACCAAAGCGACATTATCCGTACGTAAATTTTTAGTGTAGTTTTTTTAAAATTTGTTATAACAGCTTTATTTAGTACAATGAAAGCTATATCTTCAATGTACGTGTTCTCCTTTCTACGTCACATCCGGTTCAAAATCATATACTTCTGGGCAACAAAAACCCATAAAGATAAAATTTTCATGTTGCAAATGTTCTTAAGTTCGATGTAACCGTCTGTAGAACTTATTTCACTGACTCTTTACGTAACTGTCATCTTACCTGGCATGCAGATTACATGGCTATGAATGACTTCGAAGTTTACATCAAGTATAGTCAACGGCTTCGAGCTTAAATCTGTGAACATCGTGAATGCATTTACACTGCTCGTCCGCGGGCTCAGCTCCGTATTCAAGTCCTTGCTGCTTTGCCGTCTGTGCCTTGTATCGAATGCCATTATGTACCTCCATGGTCTGCGTTCAAACCCTTTGCCTGCTTGACCTCTCACAATACAGTTCAAAAAAAGAAACCTGTTCTTCATTTGTTTCGACTTTCGTTCATTCCAGTTCGAAGCCCATATGCAATCGTATTCGCTTTTGGTCAGCGGCAACGACATCACCTTTTTGGAATCGTAATACTTCAAGATGATTTCGCCTGGCGATGTGAGGTTCAAGTGAAAATAGAATTCCCCTTTGTGGAGGTTGATGTCGAGCTGCGAGAGATGAATCACAGATGTGACGAATCTCTCGTAACATGGTAGCCATTTTTCCTCGTTCATTCCAGAATTTGAGAAAAATGTCTGAAAGATGGAGAACGAAGCAATGTTATTGATTTCAAGCAATTTATGTAAAATTGAGACTTCCCCGGATGGTCACACTGCAGGGAGCGTGGAAGATTGATAATTGACGCGGGGAAGGGTCACATTGATTTCAACGGAAACTAATGAAGTAGTATATGAATATCGTCACGTTACTCACTTTTATGGCAAAATCATTTTTGGAAGTTTTGAGAAAAAGAGGAAACAATTAATATAACTTTAAAATAGTCAAACGCTTCAATAAACATATATTGAACATTTATTGAGTCGTTTTTTGATTGGTTAATTGACTTCGGCAATAAATACGGAACATAACAACGGGAAAAATAATAATTCTTCTAAAACGCAAAAATCCAAAATCCACCCTCCCCTCTCCTTAACTATCAATCTTCCGCGGTCCTTGACACGTATGAAAGAACTATCATAATCCTATGTCATGGAATGTACATATCCACGGTAGTGTTGTATGGGAGGGGTGGGTGTGCGGAAGTAAGTATTAGATTTTGATGGCTCCATATTGTTGTTTAATGTCTGACTGTTTTTTTCAAATGACTTAACTTCATATTGTGACAGTAAGATTTTTCTGGAAAGTGCACTCCATTAAACTCTTATCACAATTGCTTTGGCTTAATTATTTGGTCTATTAATATTTGTAGGAAAATTGGTACCTATCCCGCACCCCTTTAACCAAGAATATGAAAGGTGCACACCCCCACAACACCCCTCCTCCCCTAAATCCATCCCTACTATATGTACGACGTAGACAGTAAAAAGGTCAGCTTATTTACTCATGTTCTGTATTTTTTCGACGTTCACTCATTTCAAAAACAATAAATGTTCAAAGAAAATAAAACAAACAAAGTTCTCGAATTTAAAAAGAGCGACTACGTCACAGGCTATCGCACTACGTCACTGACTACGTCACTGGCTACCACGCTACGTCATTGCAGGTAAATGGTGTGAGATAGTGAGATTATTCTGAAAACATGCGTTAGAATTAGGACATGAGGGAGAACGTTCATATAATGCAGGAGCGATCAAATACTTTTCATGGAATTGAATGTTCCAATGACATTTTTTAAAAAATGCAAAATGCTCATGAACAAAGATCAAAACTTGATTAAAATTGAATATGTATGACTAGTTTATAATTTACGAATATATTGTAAACTCCGATCAAAATTGGGAAAAATGAAGTAAAGACTATAGTTTAATAGCAAAATGTAGTTTATAGTTTGTAGATAAGACTTAGTCTATTTCATGAAATAAGGATCTTGTAAAACTAATATTGAGGAAGAAAATACAGAAGCCATTTGTTTACAAATGTTAAACAACAATAACAGTCGGGTCCAGACCCTTAATTAACAACTATCCCATAATGCTCTAGTTTACAGATATAAACCTGGATTAAAACAGCATTAAAATTGAATATGTACTCTGGTTTAATAAACCTAGTTCTTATTTTGCAGAAATAAACACAGATGAATAAATAGACCTATGCAGCTGGTTTAAAGTTTACAAAGATAAACATGCTCTTTCAACATTTATATACCATTTGAAATATGATAAGTTTAATATAACTTATTTATTTTACTATTTGTGATGCTCTGATTTTTCCATTATAGAAAAAAAGTATGAACTATTAATTTGTAATTCATATGTATGATATATTTATGTTCACCTGAATTAAAGATGACTTGAAATTAAGTCAAAACATGTTTATGTTGAAAAATTTGGTCGTTTACTTCAAATGTGTTATTAATCTTATGCTATTGACATCATATGGAAATAACAATATAGCCTACAGCAGAGAGAGACATGTTTATGTTCACAAACCTCAGCTGATGTCCGTAGTTCTAGAAGTAATGAGCAAATAGGCCTCAAAAACTCATCATCAAAGAGCTCAGAATGGCCACCATAAGCCTCTTCACAAATCTTCTCGAGTTCATTAAAATGATCCTCGAACATGGAACCCTCGAGAAAGAGTTTCCATTGTTCATCCTCTTGTGTCTACAAGACCAAAAAATAGCATTTTTAAGCACTATTTTATTGTGATTAAATAATATCTAAGCTCAAAGTTGTGAGCTTTCATCATGCACAAAGGCTTGCTACTGTAATGGTGATGTGTTTATTTATACAGAGGAATGCCAATGAAAAAAAGGGATTAAATATTTTACCAAAAGTTCACTCTTTAACCAATATCAAAAACTTATTTTTAAAGTAGAGATTAATGTCCTTAGATATTGCCAAGAATACCAGTCTGGCTGGCTGCTATGCCATGAAGGATGCAAACACAATCTGCCTACAGGTTAATGGCAAAGTATTTCTTGACAAATTGGTTCAATTTGGATCACTTAAAATAGTTTGAAACATATTGGTATATAATGGATAATGTATGTAGTAATCACCTACAATTTGAGTTCTAATGATTCAGGGAATATTTAACATAAATTACTTTATTTCTGTGTTATTTGAGCATTCTGGTAACTTTGTTTACTGAATGATTATGTTCCTCGATAATTAGGACATTGTATGTCAACAAAGATGAAGCAGTTTGACTAAGGATTTGCGGTAAAAATTGCGTTATCTTGAAGGAAATGATTCCCTGGGTTATAGCCACTATTACAATTAGGTAATATCAATCAATTAAGGAACCACAACAATCGTATGTTTCAAATTAACATCAGTATGTGAATACACCAACAGTTTTCTAAACAGTTATAATAACTTCAAGAAAATTGCTTTGAGCAAATAGCATATTGCCAACCGCACTCGAGGTAAAGTTATACCGAAGTAGCTGCCGACTCTCTTCCGTTATGTGTAAATTAGAAATTGTGACATACAATTCGTATGTACTTGTTTATTGAGTAAAAAATCGTGTAATTTTGCTTGAAAAGTGCGATATCGATAAGTCTGTGGTTAAATACAGTCGTATAGTCGAAATAGGTAGAGTCACAATTTGAAAGTTTCAACTAAAAATCAGTTAAAATCAATCGCAAGAGTTTCAAAACAATTCTTCGATTTCGTAATTAAATTATTCCGTCTGGATGAATAGAACGCGATTAAATAAAAAGAACTTTTCCCTGTAAACGATATTCGCAACTATTTATAATATCACTTACAAATGAATAAAGATTATACACAATTGATGACAAGTGATCGCAACGTACTTCAAAGACGTCAAAGATCGAACATGATTACTGATGAGCTTGTTTACAGTCGACTACGAATAATAAAATTTCTTTAGAAATCCCAAGAATATGACCAAACCTGGATAATACAACGGTATGTATTCCTTTGTGTGATAGCTCACCCAAAAAAGTGACGAGACATTTGCGCAGAGGGATTAAATAAACATCAAACACGAACATCGGTCAACGACAATGTCCGTCAACTCAAAACACAGCAGCTGTGAACGCGATTTCGAATCGATTTGAAGACAACTTACCTCAATAGACATCCTAAAGTTTCTCAAAGACAACTGGCTTGCCGTATATCTTTCGATTTTGGTAGATTTTGGATTCAAAATACTACATCACAAAGCATTTTATGAAAAGGTCGATTCACTGGCCATGAGAGTCGGCCATAATTGGAAGTCAATATGACGGAGACCGCAGAGGTATGTGGGTAATCTCGTCAAGTGAGGAGACTTCTGTAAAAGGCTTAGCAATCCTTCATTTTCTCTCCTTTTTTGTCAACTTGTGCGTCAAAGTGTCAACGAATTAAACAAAATATATTGAATGAAGTGCAGTTTGATTAAATACCTGCTTGAACTCGAACATCTGTTCGGTCAACTTTGTAGCTTAGCGATCAGTGAGTTCTTAGAAATAAGACTAAAGGACGTAGCTTGCTCAATAATCGGTGGTTGTATCTCGTTATTTGTTCCTCTGATTTCTGAGATTCAATGCTTTCAGGGATTATAGAATGCACATATGAATACAAGCCTTTCCCCCCTCTCCTCCACCAATCATGTATTTTACTACGGTCGTGGATTTGAGCGAAACAAATTGTTTTTCAAAAGTCCATAATACGTTAGGAGTGGCATAATTACTTAACAGATTGTGTGTATAATTTTTATGTAATTGTGAATTTTTTCTTCTTGAATTGAAAACCAATTTCATTTAGTGTTGTATGTTTGCTGAGAATTTTATCATTTCAAGTTAAGTTATTAACAAGAATGTTAAATTTCTTTTCACAGGAAAGATTTCGGTATTAATTTTACATTCTCGTTTATTAGAACTTTAAAACGACGGCGTACTTTCTAAAACAGTTCGTGAATGTCGTTTTACATTCTCATTTCTCATGTTATTAAAGTTTTTTAATATCCATTTAGTACAACTAGTGACGTCATTATGCATAACGATGTTGTAGAAAAATTTTCAAATATTCTTCAGTTTTCTGGCATCTTTTCGATGAAATTCTCTCGCAATATTTCATGAATAGTGTATTTGCACACTTCAACGTCAAAGCTTTGGACAATATCTTTGATGAAGTGTTTGAATATTTTAGATCTTTTAATTTTGTCAGTTCGATGTAAACATAGTTTATTCGTGGCATTATCTTTATGAAGATAGACATTTCAATATTTTAAAGGCTTAACACTTTCGTCTAAAAAAGGGAAATATTAATTGAGATCAATCACATCATCTCCAATATGAACAAAAGTGATCATAAAGCATTCTTTACACTACCTAAAATATAAACGTGTGTCAGTGTTGGCAGTGATGAATGGACAATAGAAAATGAAAAGAACAAAATTATCCAATTGCTTTTTGGCTATATCATTTTCTTGAGCAGGTTATTTCAAAAGTGTTTCTCGGTAACACAATTCTTACGCTATTTTACAGTCAGATGAACCATTAGAAGTCAAACTTCCTATTCCACCAAATGTTTATGCAGATCTTGCATGCTGAAAACTACAGCGACGTTTTCGTAGCTGTTCAGTTTTTTTATACCCTCAATGTACACTACCGACACGACATTCTAAACTAAATGACGTTTGTCGGTGATGATGAATCAATAACAGACAAAAAAATGTCCTGACACTGTTTACGTGAAACATAAATATATATGAATTTAATTGGTTGAATCTAAGCTAACAATGTCTATAGGAAATTACACGGGTATAAATTTAGAGAGAACTAAGTTTACCTTGAGACTGCGCAAAGTCATTTTCCTATTCATGAATTCCAATGATATTCTTGATTAGTCTGGAATTTTCTTCCGACTTTTTCAACACTTTTGCATTCTGAATTTTGTAATTCTTAAACCATTTAAAACAACGTCACTAGATCTTCATTTATTTCGATTTACTCCGAGCTCACGTCTTCTTTATCGGAGGAAAAATCATAAAATATACTTCCATCGACAAAATTAGAAAATCCACGTTTTTGTTTGGGCCACTCCACCAAAGGATCTATAAGTGCCTTTTCTTTTTTCGTGAAATAAGAAAAGATTAACTTCTTTCTTTCTAGGTTGATGATCATGTTCGCCTAAAGTGGTTGATACAAAAGAAATAAAAAAATCATTTGCACGTTAAAAGAAATTAATAAATTTTAGTCTGGTACGTAGTTTTAATGATGTAAAGAACTTTTTCTTATTTCATCTTAGATTATATTAAAAAATAAAGCTCCATTCGATCGTTTTACCATTTTTCTTACCGTATGAATATGTTTTCGCAATTTGACGTCCTGCCTGATCTTACTTGCATCCTCAATGACAAGGGCGAGAATGAGGTTCATAATAACGACAGGCATGACGACGACGAAAACAACAACAAAGAACTTTCTGTTGTGGGTAAAACATGTCGTTATAATGGTGACGAAGAACTGTCTCCTTAAAATCAATTTCTCCGATCGTCATGATCGCTGTAGTTAACATCGATGTTCGAAAATTCCCGAATCTCTCTGTGTCATTCAGTATCACCGTAAAGGTTGCTGCAAACGCGACGAAGAATAATAATAACAGACTCAAAACCTAAACAAAAATATGATGAATTATTTTAAGTCCCGTTCACACGATCCGATTTGTTTGATATCTGATTGTTTCGGTTTCGACTTTTGATTGGTTTTTAAGACGGTCGGATAATTTTGTTGATATTTATATTCGTTCAGATATTTATAGTCTTGGGAGCAGACATTTGTGTTATCCAGTACATTTATCGATATATTTTTCAAATTTTTATTCTTGTTTCAAGACTTTTTCACATCTAATGTTTTGCGCCTTATGAAATTTGGAAAGTATGAAGAGTAAGAGGTCTGGGACTAGTCGTCTTTCTTTGATGTAGTCGGATGAAAATAGAGCAAGTTTAATAGAGCAAGATGGGACCGCTATGTACTTTCGTGATTTAACAACAAATTAACAACAGATTTAACAACAGACTTTCTTGTTCACAGACATAAGTCTGTGAACAAGAAAGAAATGTTGGCAATAGAAAAATTACCTTTGGTGAAAGTCATACAATCGCTCAATATTTCCAAATATTAAATTTTTCCTTCCCCGTAATGACGCCGGTAGATCGTCACTCTCCATTTCCTTTACATAATTCTACACGAAGAAATTCTACGAAATTACTAATATTGTAAATACTCGACAAAATTAGCTCCAAAATTACATGGATTACGTAATCCAAGGTCTTGACATAATCTCTTTTCATAGTGACCATTTCATCCACAATATACCAAAACTTTCCACAAAACAATAATGGCCTTGAGACTTTAAGGAAATTATATGGATGTTTATGGACAAAAAGGGATGTTTCATTTTAATATAAAGCTTGAAAACTTACTCTTTGGTTTATTCTGAAAGTTTTTGATAAGTTTGTTCATCTTGTTCTCCAGCAATCTGAAAAACAAAACCATTTTTATTCACTAGTTAAGGAGTTCTTTTGCATTCATGTTGCAAAGAACAAACGTTTATTGATCAAACAAGTTTATAACCTATTTTCAAAAGATTTATTAAAGGATTTCTTATATGTAGAGGAAAATATAGCAGAAATGTTGGTTGTGTGTGGAGGGAAATATCATAGAAATAATTGTTGAAAAAGAAAAAAACAATAGAATTACAGTGAGCAAAACAAAGTGGATAAAAGTTCAATTAACGTCTTCATAAACATACATCTTTCAAGTTATAAAACAACTGTTGTTCCTGTTCATTGACGTCTGAACAGCAGCTTTCTTGGTAGGAGATAAATCTTCACGAAGATCTAATTTATCATCATCATCATCATCACTGTCCAAGTCGCCTTCCTCATCGTTTGCACACGAGGTTGAGTTCGATGTTAATGTAGATGACGATCCCTCGCTGGTACCATTTGTAGATGCGTCAGAGACCTATGGATAAAGGGGATTTTCATGGATGATCAAACAGTATTCACAATCAATAAGCACAAGCTTCCCCAAAGCAACGTACAAGACAGTTTGTTTATAGAACGATATTTGTAATGAACTGTTATTTCCATAGGAGTATATAAAGTGGTGACAAAAATATCGATTGACGGCAGTTGAAAATCACTAACACCATCATACTTGCTATGTTAAAAGATCTCCATAAACATACCTGTACGCGTACGACCGCCCTCTGTAATGTTTCCTGACGTTAAAAAACATTTCCTCGACTTCCTTGTACTCCGCAACAGATTTCACGGCCTGATTTTGTAGATCTTCGTTCTTCAATTTACCTGAAAGTTCATTTAAGTTATTTAATCTTTCCTTCGACCACATGGGAAACTCTTGAAGAAATCCTTCCATGTTTTCTTTCAGTGAAGCGACATATCTAGAGGAGTTTAATACTTCCATATTCATCAATGCCATGTGTTTCAATGCTTGAATTCTCCATTCAGAACACTGTAACGACGTAAGAGATGTCTTTAATGGAAATAATACTTAACGATACCACACAGTTATTGGAAAGATCGAAAGTTCCACTAGTCTCTTCAAAAGAAGTAAACCAACGATAAGAAAGAAGGAAAGTTTATGAAATGTCATCAGTAACCTAGCCAGCCTGCAGACTTACTCCTGCTACAGTAAGTTCCTAAAGATTATCATTGTTCATTTCTTTAGAAATCTATTGCTCTCATGACAGGTCAACATAAAAATATTTGTAAAGCAGTGGTATAAATTCAGGCTGGCTACGTCACTGTGTTTCATGATGATTTACAAGTTGTTGTCTCCAATTTCTCGAGTTGAAATTATTTCTCTTCCCTTTCTTGCTTCATCTAAGTGGATTATTCATTGATTAATAAAACACGTAATATGACAAGTCAGACGAATCTTTTACACGAACAAGAAACCACGTGGTATAAGCAGGCAGGTAAAGACGGTTTCAAGTATGCCCTGTCATTTATTGTCGATTACACTCGATCATGATATATTTTTTGAAATACAAATCTGACACTATCAAAGCCACAAAACAATTTCTGGCTGATATTGCACCTTTCGGCAAAGTAAAATGTATTAGAAGTGATAATGGAGGGGAGTTTGCTGGACATGAGTTTAGAACCCTTCTGCGTGATAACAAGATTAAACATGAGACATGTGCTCCTTATTCGCCTCACCAAAATTGGTCGGCAGAAAGAACTTGGCTAAGTTTATTTAATATGGCCAGGTGTTTGCTACTTAAGTCAAAGCTGCCAAGGACCTTGTGGACTTATGCAGTGATGGCATCTGGGTATATCAGAAACAGGTGTTTCAATGACTGGTTGGGTAAAACTCCTTATGAGGCTTTAACAGGGTAAAAACCTAATCTTAGTAAGATGCATGTGCTTGGTTCAGTGTGCTATGCCTATGTGCAAGACCCGAAAAAGCTTGAACCTAGAAGCAAGAAGGGGATTTTCATTGGGTATGATAAGTGCAGCCCAGCATACTTGGTATATTACCCTGAAAACATGAAAGTAGAGAGAGTAAGATGCGTAAAGTTTTTTGATAGTATCCATGATGAGATTGAGAAGACTCCAACGGACGATGAAATTTACCAACCTTCTTACGCAACACCTACGTCAGAACAGCCTACTGCAGAAATAGGGGGGAAACCTGATGATTTAGAAGGGAATGACACTGTAAGGTATCCAACCCGAACCCGGAATAGGCCAGCATATCTAGATGAGTATGTAGTTGAAAACGTAACCGAAACCACAACTAAGCTTGCAGTCGATTATTGTTACAGGTTGAATGATTTACCCAATTCTTATTCAGAAGCTGTAAGTTCTAAAGATTCAGTCCAGTGGAAAAACGCCATGAACGATGAGTTTACCTCATTAGTGGATAATAACACTTTCACACTTACTGAGTTACCCCCAAATCTTGAAATAGTGGGTGGAAAATGGGTGTACACAATCAAAACAGGCATGAACAATGAGGAGACGTTTAAGGCTAGGTATGTAGCTAAGGGTTATTCTCAAGTCTCAGGAATTGACTATCATGAGACGTTCGCACCCACTGCTAGAATGAATTCAATTCTTGTGCTGATTAAACACGCAGTCCAAAAAAATATGCAAGTACACCAACTGGATGTTAAATCGGCATATTTAAACGCACCCATTGATTGCGACATTTATGTTGAGCAACCAAAAGGCTACGAAAAATTGGGTAAGAATGGAGAAAAACTTGTCTACAAACTAAACAAGTCGTTGTACGGTCTTAAACAAAGCGGTAGGAACTGGAATCAAACATTACACGACTACTTGACTGGGGACGGGTTCAGCCAATCCCTTGCAGACCCATCTGTGTATTATAAGTTCGTAAATGGGGACCGTAACAAATGTAATATCATGATCATTTGGGTAGACGACTTAATAATTTCTGCAAGTAACTCAATCTTGCTGAAAGGCGTAAAAGAGGGTCTTTGCAAGCAATTCAAAATGAAAGATTTGGGCATTTTACATTGGTTTTTAGGCATGGAGTTTAAGTGTTCTGATGACGAAATAGAAATGAGCCAAAGCCGTTACGTAGAAAAAATATTGGCAAAATTTGAAATGACCGATTGCAAACTCAAAAAGGCACCGTCACTTCCCGAACACGATAAATTAATGTGCATGGATTCACCCGAATTAGAGGATCCTAACTTGTATAGACGAATTTTTGGGAGTCTGATTTACATTATGACAGGCACTAGGCCGGACTTATACTATTTAGTTACCAAACTGTCTCAATACATGTCCAAACCGACTGTTGCATCATTAAATGCAGAAAAGCATGTCCTAAGATAGCTTAAGGGGACACCACAATTAAATCTAACGTTTAGAAAGAGCGAGAACCCTTTAGAATCGGTAGGATACAGTGATTCAGATTGGGAGGGAAATGCTAGTGACAGGAAGAGCAATTCTGGACACGCTTTTCTATTGTCAGAGGGAGGACCTCTGATATCCTGGAAAAGGAAGAAGCAGCAGGTAGTTGCACTTTCTACTTCTGAAGCAGAATATATAGCTATGGCTGAGGCAGTGCAGGAAAGTAAGTTTTTAAAGCAATTATGTTGCGACATTGGCATATTCTCAGATAGCAGGAGCGCGATTATCAATGTCGATAACCAGGGAGCAATCAAACTAGCTAAGAATCCAGCTTTTCATAAGAGATCGAAGCATATTGACATCAAGTATCACTTCATTAGAAGTGAAACGCAGCGCAGCACGATAAACTTAA